ATACCAGCCCAATATGGTAAGCCCGATTGAATGTGGGCTGAGCTCGTAAATGAGATGGACAAGACGAACATGGACATCAGGCCCAAGGAAATACATGGTCAACATACCCAGGATGAGAATCATGGAGTCACATTCACATAGATATGGCGCGCTGAGCATGACGTGGTCTTATCTTTACAATGAGGCTTAAGCATGACATGCTGAGCACGACGCAGCCTTACCTCTACCATGGGATTTGAATATGGCATGCTGATCATCACATGGTGAGCCTCTACGCACGTGGTGCGCAAGCGCCTAGACCATCGCACATGCATGGTGCTACTTCCCAGAAGCTACGTGACCAACAGCAAATCTCGAAGATCATGGTTCAACTCGCAATAAGTCCTACAAATCAGAAGATGGTGGTGCGTCAGTTCATGCATGGCGACCACGTTGCCCGAATATTTCTTGTCTCAATTTTGTATTATAAATTCTTGTAACTCTTGGAAGAACGATCAGGCTGAATACATTGAATACACTACATACAATTATCTCTCTAAGTATTATTCTGAGTGCTTTAATTATTTTCGGCTATCTACTAATTATTTTCCGGTGGATTTACTTCCATCAAATGCATTGTAAATGAAGTTGGAACAATAGCTTTAGAGATCTAAATTATCTTTCCAACGAGATATAATACGCTCTAAACGAAAGAACACACAGCAAGATATGAGTGTCACATATACTTAGCCTTATTTCTATCATTTAACGTTTTCAGCGTAAATAGAGCACTTTTAGCGTAAATACAGTGTATTTTAGTAATTAGGCAATCATCCCTTAAAATTTTGAAACCAGCACCTGAAGACAAGTTTTAGAACTCGGTAAGATACCCGCACAGGTAGCTCAGTTGGTCGAGCGGTGGGAAAAATTGGACGTAGACCAAGGTTCGAATCCCGCAGCGGCCAAAAGGGGGTTTTCAGAACCTGAAATAAGGCTGGCCCTCTGGTGCGCACGGGTAAAGGCCTACTGCCGCTTTGCCGACTGAGTCACCGTGATTTACTCCCCCACCATCCTGTCGGGTCGGGGTGGGGGGGGCCTTGGGGTTGGGGATTCAACCTTTTGGACGTAGAACTCGGTAAGATCTTTCCAACGAGATATTAAACGCTGTCAACAGAACAAAATAGAGCAAGATATGACCGCATCAAATTCTACACGAGTTCAGAGTGAAATCAGAAACATTTTTAGCTATATGGTTAATTTGTAACTTTTAATTAATGCATTGTAAATGAAATTGGAACAATAGCTTTAGACCTCTAAATTATCTTTCCAACGAGAAATAATAAGCTGTAAACGGAAGAACACACAGCATGATATGATATGAGTGTCACAAATACTTAGCCTTATCTCTACGATTTAGCGTTTTCAGCGTAAATAGAGCACTTTTAGCGTAAATACAGTGTATGTACATGAACGTACTGCACCCTATTCACCTCAATCAAACGGTGTAGCCGAACGAAAGAATCACACATTGAATGCGATGCTAGTAAGTTCGGGCCTCCCACAAAATATGTGGGGCGAAACAGTCTTGTCAAGCAATTACCTTTTAAATAAGGTACCCCGGAAAAAATATGATAAAACTCCCTACGAGTTGTGGAAAGGTAGAAGGCCTTCCTATCAATATATAAAAGTGTGGGGGTGTCTGGCAAAAGTGCTTGTACCAACACCTAAGAAAATAAAAATAGGTCCAAAAATGGTGGATTGTATTTTTATTGGATATGCACAAAATAGTAGTGCTTATCGGTTTTTAGTGTACGATTCGAATAATCCGGATGTGCATAAAAACACAATAATTGAATCAAGGAATGCATCATTCTTTGAAGACGTATTTCCATGCAAGTCCAACGAAGGACCAAGCACGTCAAAACGAACATTTGACGTAGCTATGGAAAATACTAGCGAGGGATCCGGAGAAGAACCCGAACCCAGACGTAGCAAACGTGCTAGAGTTGAAAAATCCTCCGGACCGGATTTTCTCACCTACTTGGTAGAAAATGAACCAGATTTTCTAACATGTTTGGTAGAAAATGAACCACGGACTTATACGGAAGCTGTGACGTCTACCGAAGGTCCTATGTGGAAAGAAGCCATCAAAAGTGAGGTGGATTGTATCCTTAAAAATCACACATGGGATTTGGTTGATCTTCCTTTGGGAAATAAACCTTTGGGATCCAAGTGTATTTTTAAACAGAAAATGAAACCTGACGGTTCCATCGATAAGTATAAGGCCAGACTTGTAATCAAGGGATACAAGCAACGTGAGGACCATGATTAATTTGACACGTATTCTCTTGTGACGAGAATAAATTCCATTAGGATGATACTAGCAATTCCCGCATTGCGGAAATTGGAAGTTTATCAAATGGACGTAAAAACCGCTTTTCTAAATGACGATATAACGAAGAAATCTATATGGAACAGCCCGAAGGCTTTCGTGTTCCTGGCCAAGAAAGGAAAGTGTGTAAATTAATTAAATCATTGTATGGATTGAAACAAGCTCCTCTAAACAGTGGCACAAAAAGTTCGATCATGCAATGTTAATTAATGGGTTTAAAATAAGCGAAAGTGACAAATGCGTCTATGTGAAGAGCACGGTAGACGGCTATGTCATTTTATGTTTATACGTGGATGATATACTCATCGTGGGTAGCAATAATCTAATGATTAATTCTACCAAAAGCATGTTATATTCTTAATTTGACATGAAGGATATGGGGCTGGCCGATTTAATCCATGGGATTAAAATAATTAGGGGACCAGATGGTCTTACGCTAAGCCAATCCCATTACGTTGATAAATCCTTATGAAATTTAATAAGGATGATTATCAAGAGGCAAGGACTCCATTAGATAAAAACGTACACCTTACCGAAAATCGTGGAGACTAACAATCCCATTGAACTGTTGCACTTTGTGTAATTTGTGAATTTTGGATGGATGGAACTAACAATTGCATATTTGTTATTAATTATATTATAAATGTTGGTAAATATATTGTAATATTGATATGACATCTGTGATTGGTAATCTGCACCAAAAACAATAAGAAGTCGGTGGCCTTGCCAACTGAAGTTGTATGTATTATTTTTTTAAAAGAAAAATCATACTAAGGCGGTTCTCGAGAATAACTGACATCGTAGGCATATGTTCAACATCATTTTTTACGTTGGTCATGACAAATAACCGACGTTTTAGATTTATTTATTTTTAATTAGAAGAGTTTTTATGTCGGTTTTTGAACCGACATAGAAAGTATATACCTATTACGTCTCTCATTTAGACGACAGTTGCAAAACCAACGTGAAATGGTCAAAATAACCGACGTGAAAAGCCAATTCTCTACTAGTGCTTGTAACATATATATAACCCAATTAATTAGGGTGAGACTTTTGAAATCAAGAACCGATAAATCGAAGCGGATTAAACCATTATGACCTGATTCGATCCGGTTCCAATATAAATTAGTTTTTAGTGGTTCAGATCATATTTTTAATTAACAGTCTGGTTCTTGATTCCTATAAAAATATGTGTGCAGAAATGTTAAGGTACCGTTATATAATAATTAAGTTTTATTTATCACACATTAGTATATATTACCTCCGTCCCGATGGACTTTGCCAACTTCAAGTTGGGTGAGAAATAAGAAAATTAAAATTTGGGTGATTGATGTTTGTGTAAAGGAACAAGAAATGCACAAAATCACAAATTAATTAGGTTAATGGAAAATGACAAAGTTTTTGGAATACAAAAAATGAAAAGTTGGCAAAGTTCAATGAGACAGAGGGAGTATATTTGAGGAAGCGGTCCAGCCCAGCTGCTCGCCGACTCACACTCCCTTATGGGAGGTCTGTGGTTCGAAACTCAATGGAGTGAGTTTGAGCCAAGCTCCCCCAGCTCCCTCCCCCCAGACGCCCCTGGAGTAAAAAACACAAAAGGGAGTATATTTTAATATTTGTTTATATATTAAATTCAATAGTCTGGTTTAGTTAATTGAGCTTTTTAAATGGAAAACACTTAAAACTTATATTAATATCAATAAAACAAACATCCAGATAGTTAGTCTTCCAACTACTCAGACCTTCTCTCTAAACTCCTTATAACCAATATATCCTCTTACTCTCCGATCCCACATAAAATAGACTGCCAATAATGAGTAAGTCTAATCGCTTGACATGCGAGAAATTCAAAACAATTATCGGTCAAACTAGCCCAATTTCTATCTCCCCATCTTATAACTAAAACCACAAAGCAGAAATTATACCGTAAGTGCTGAACAAAAAAATAACCAATAGAAGCATCCAAACCATAGTCACTCGATCCTTTCCTAGAGGCGGTTCAGGAGTGAGACGAACCAATAACGCTCCACCCTCTTCCTTCAAGCCCAACCCATCATAGATCCACTAATTGTCCATGACCTCATTTTCTTCTACCATCTTCATCCTTCCATAAGCTTGAGCCATAGCATAGAGAACCTTTGAACCCTAGGCAAGAATGCCTACACGTCCGCTCTCAGCAATAGAGTGTAGATTGAAGTGGGTTTAATTAACGGTGTTGATAACTTGATAAGTATTTAACCAATTCCTGTTGTAGTAATTTTTTTTTTCTTTACTAAGTTTCTTAATGTGTTATATGCTTATGTTTGAAACTTACTCCCTCCGTTCCTTAAAACTTTGTCAACTTTCCTTTTTTGGATATTCCATTAATTTTGGCATTTTCCCTTTTAAGTAAAGAATTTGTGGTTCCAGTTAATTCTCTCCTTTCTGCACAAACTTCTACCACACAATTTTTACTTTATTAATCCCTGTGTCGGTCAAACTTGATAAAGTTTCAAGGGACGGATTAATAATTTCTTGAGGTTAGGAATTGACATTTACACGGGAAACAGGCGTACGGAATTTTCACCCGATCCGTACGACAGTTGAATCGTTGTTTTTAGAAGGAATTTTAAAACCTCCACTTCTGTGAACAATCACCTTTTCTTCTCTTTAACCGCATAATAACGAAGAAGAAGACAGAGAAATTTAATTGCTTCGTCAACTAGACCCCACTTCTGGTCCAATTCCCGGCGTTCAATCATTGTCGCTTTTGATGTACACCAAAACACACAATCAAAATCCAAATAATAGATTGATTCCCACCCAAACGCAATTCTTTGATTTCGAATTTCTTGGCCAATAGATTACGCAAAAGCTGGGACAGCTCGAGCTATAAACGGTACAATTTTGTTTATATTTTTGTGATCCTCGCTTTTTTAGATTTAAATAATATTTTTCCCCATCTGCCCGGTTGGTAATCCACGTGCAGTTCATCTTCTCCGACGAATATTCGGTTTATTTTTGGTAATTTTTTCTAACTCTGTTTGTTTCTGGAATGTGTATAGACTTAAATAATTTGGTGACATTGTCTGTCCTGTGTCGTTTTCCCTTTATTATTATAGCAGGTTAGGTGGTTGGCGGGTCTGAGTAGATTTGTGGTCGAAAATTGAATCTCCAGTCATTACTTCATTTAACCGTACAATCTTAAGGATTTTGGATTTAGCAATCTCGATTGGAAAGAACAGATTTGGTTTTCTTTTTGTTTTCACTTGGATGGTAGAAGAACAGATTGCTTGATCTGTGGGAGAGTGGAAGAGCATTGGTATAGGACGAAGATGATGATTAGGATGCAGAGGTTGCTTGTGGAGGCTCTCACAGAACCTCAAAGGGGAGGGGAGTCTTTTATGGGTTCAATCAAGATTGCAGTCTTACCTATTGCTAAGGTTTTTACAATGTGCTTCCTAGGGTTTCTCATGGCTTCTAAGTATGTTAACATCTTGCCTGCAAGTGGAAGAAGACTTCTAAATGGGGTAAGAACTCTCAAGCTTACATTGAGGTACACTCGCCTCTTTTTCACCTACAACTAGTTTCTCTTTTTATCTGCTTCTTGAGTTAATGATTTTAGTTTTTCACACCTTGATGCCACCAGCCTATGGCTTTCAATGGCCTGCTAATATATTGATCCATACGTTTACATTTAGTTTTTTTCCCGGGAATAGGTGAGTTCCAATATGTACCTAGTTTTTTGAAGGCCACTTTGCTTTTAAGTGTGTTTCTATTGGAGATGAGTAAAATAGACTGCACCCTGGCCGTTTTTTTCTTCAATTTTTGTTGTTCTTCTCGAATTTATCTCCCACTTTCCTTTCATTTAAAAATGAAAGAACTTTGTGATTTAAATAGTTTCCCTCTAAAAAATAAACCAAACAATTTTCACTTTCTTAAAAACCTTTCCATCCGAAGGGGAGATTCAGAAAGAATGGAGCGGTCGAGCGGATAGTTTACATTTCAAAATTTCCCTCTACTGGGGCCACAGTTGTCTCAATTTCTTCGAAATTGTAAGAGGGATACATGTTGAATTAGAAAAGCTAAAAGTTGGTAGTGTTGAAATTACAACTTTTTGGAGATTAGTTTAAGATTGACCAAAAAGGAAGTAGAACAAATAAAGAGGGATGGAGTGTAAAGTTACTTGTTTTTTTGGTAGCACTTGGATGTTTCAATCTCCTGTTCCGTGTTTAGTTAAGGACTCTCCATCATCACAGTTTACTAAATACGGCTATCTTTTTCTTTTTTTGAAAAAAAATCTACATGGCTTCTAAGTTACTGAGAGGTATCTCGATGATCAAATTTCTGCTTGCTAAGTACTGAGAGGTATCTCGACTAATATAATTGAAACTTCACTCAGCTGGTTTTTTCACTTCTTCTCCCGTGCATGATATTCGCTCAACTTGGACAAGCAATCACATTTGAGAAGATGCTTCAGTGGTGAGGATCTATTGCTTGTGATACTTTTCTGATAACATCTTCACCAAACTGAACTAATGGGTCTTCTTGTTTGTCAGGTGGTTTATTCCGGTTAACGTGGTCATGGCCACAATATCAGGCTCCATAATAGGTCTTGTTATTGCAACAATCATCCGTCCACCATATCCATTCTTCAAGTTTACTATTATACATATTGGAATAGGTAGGTCAAAATATGATTGTTTTGTGTCCATGCAGTTTAAGGATAGACATATTATTTACATTTCAATATTTTTGGAACGTTTGTTTTGTAATAAGTGGTGAGATATGACTATATGAGTGTGAATTAGTCTCATTGAAGTTATGATGGAAAATGAAGAAGTTAAACGATGGAGATGCTTTGGAGTCGGTCTTAAGTCTTAACATTAGTAGTTCCTTTTTGCGTATCCAATTAATAACCTGATGTCCATGAACTTGTGTGTAGGAAATATTGGAAATGTTCCACTTGTGCTGCTTGGAGCATTATGTCGTGATAAATCAAATCCATTTGGTGACTCTACTAAGTGCTCCCAAGATGGAAATGCATACATCTCATTCGGCCAATGGGTATGTAGTATATCAATATTAATGCTTTTCTTAAGATACCATATTGGTCTTTATACTTAGAAATTGGCTACATGCTATATAAAATAGCATCATGAAATTATTCTTGACTACTTGACTCTTGTGATCACTCTAGTAGATACTTATCCACTTCGCCAATTTGAGTATTTCAGTATAGGAGGCGATCCAACTTGTAAAATGAAACAGCAAAGGTATTGTTCAAAGGCGTTGATTAACAACACAACATTTCTTTAATATAGAGCTCTTTGCAATTAAGAAACAATTAACCTTCATTTATATATACTATGGATCTATTTTAAACAAGTGGGCTCTTGGAATCAGACATCACATAGGCGTGGTAGAAATTCCAGTGTCCTTTGATCTAATATTAATATTAGGGACAGTATGGCTGGTCTCAATGGTTCCACAATAATGGCCCCGGTACCTTTCTTGTGGTGAATGTGATGTTCACTCATGTAAAGGTGGAATTTGTTCTGGCTCTTCAGAAAGAACTTTGCCTAGAATTGTACTGGGGGGGGGGGGGGGGGGGTGGCGGCCCAATGATGACAAGGATTCTGAGATTTTCTGCATCCCAGCTAACATTTTTATCCTTTCTCCTTGGGGATTGGGGAGAGTGTCTATACCCAAATAATGAGATATGGGAACAAGAAAGCTATGGGCTTTGTCTGATTTAAAATATGAGGTTGTGAGAAACAATTGTCTGGTTCTTTTTATGCAACACAAGTGAAACATAAGTACATATGTTGCAAACTTGCACCATAAGCTAATTATGCAGACACCCTTGAAAAAGGATAATAGAAATAACCCAATATAAAGAGAATGACTACATTTACCAGAAATAGGCAAATAAATTAATCAGCATCCTGCTGCGCTTGACAGAACCTTCTTACACCAGCCCTGGGAGTTTCTTTGAAGTTTGTCAACTGCTAACATTTTATTCGTGCAAAATATTTGGAATTGAGTTTGCGTAGACTAGAACATCGACGTGCTCCTGCTAGTAGACTAGCATAATTATCTATGTATGTAAAATTAGTTAATTATTAATTTGGACTCTAGCTTTTCGCATGACTGTATGAGTATTTTATTTTTGTAGTTATCTATACATTTTGTAATACTTATAGAGAATTACATGAAGTGTGTACATAGAGAATGATTTTGTAATATGATTTAGATCTTGTAGATCACATATAATGTTAATCATTCATTTTTTATGAAATCTTAGTCACACTGCTAGTATGTCTGCAATCGACTACATAGTCTTAAATGTTATGCCTGCTCTCGTTTAGTATGATACGTAGTATATTGTATTTTAATTCTTCGAAAATGTTTTATCACTTTATGATACAATCGAATGTAATTTTGAATATTTAAGAGAACTTGGAAAAGATGTCTATAAAAAAGCCAAAGTGAAAGACAGCATCTTTAAGAGTCTGTTTGGCCAGAGGATTTAGAGGGTAAGGTTTGGAAGATTTAGCCTATATCTTAATATACATGTGAGATTTCATAAAAAATGAATGATTAACATAATATGTAATCTACAAGATGTCAAATACCTTTACTAGTGCTAGAAACATTCTATTTATCAAGATAAAGACTAAACTGTTGAAAACATTCCCCTCCAATTCCTCCAAAAAATTGCAAGCTTCTATTTTGCTATCATCATTTGGGAACATATGTATTACTGTTCCTCTTTGTCTCTTTCTACTGAGTAGTGGAGGTGCTGGCAAAAATTTGAAAACTTTGAATTTTGTATTTAGGTTGGTGCAATTATTCTCTACACCTACGTATTCCATATGCTTGCACCTCCTCCTGAAGGCACCTTTGACGTTGAAGATGGGGCCCATCTTCCAATAAAGGCTCCTAACAGAGTTACTTCTCATGCTTCTGCGAAGAATACTTCCAATGAGCAACTTCCATTGCTTGTGCCGGAGCCTGCAACTCCCGAGTTGACCAGTTCACATAAAGATAAGGTGAGAATTGGAGCAAATCTATTTTTGGAGTATGTTGATTTGTCATTATCTGAATAAAGGCTAAACAAAAACCGGGGGTGAATAATTTTATCTCCAATAGGAAAGTTATTATTTAACAATTCAGTGTTTAGGAACTTATAATTAACTAAAATAAACTGCTTTTGTATTTCATGCAGATTAAGGAGATCTTCAAGTTTCTGTACGAAAAGTTGAAGCTCCAGCAAATTATACAACCGCCCATAATTGCTTCAGTAAGTAACTAAGGTTCTTCATTTTTACTTTAATGTCGAAGAGTGATTAACAGTCTAGCTCCATCATAATAAGTAAAATAACCGTATCTCAATCTCTACTATTTCTAAAACAGTTTTTAGCTATAATCCTGGGATGTATTCCATTCTTCAAGAAACTGATATTCACTTCAGATGGTCCATTTTACTTCTTCACTGACAGCTGTTTGATTCTCGGGTATGATCACAGACTCATTCTGTGGTGGATTTTTGTTTCACCTTCTGGTTTATTATTTAAAAAAACTCCTTTGTCATGTCAAAGTGAAAACTTAAAAAAGTCACCATCTCATGTAATCAGGGAGGCCATGATTCCATGCATATTGTTGGCATTAGGAGGCAATCTTATTGAAGGTAAATCATTTGCTTACACACACACACTCAAGTCTCAACGCCCACACACATCTATACCACTATTATTCCATTATTAGTAAGTAATTTCTCGTGTAAAATGTATGCAGGTCCAGGACGTTCAAAACTTGGTTTAAGGACAACTGCTGCAATCGTATTCGGGCGGTTGGTTTTAGTTCCTCCAACTGGACTTGGAATTGTCATGTTGGCAGATAAACTAGGATTCCTTCCAGCCGGTGACAAAATGTTCAGATTCGTCCTTCTCCTCCAACATACCATGCCAACATCTATCCTTTCTGGCAAGCCTCTCTTCCCTAACCAAACCTCTGTTTGTTCTTTTTTTGGGGGTGGGGGTGGGGTATATCATTTTAAGATATCTAGATAAGTTCTAAAAATATAAGATACCCCCCGCCCTACGAGAAGAGTCTTCTTTCTACAATTCTTTTGTTCCAAAAAAATAGTTCGTGAAGTCACGGGACAAGCAGTTTTGTTAAACTACTCCAAACAATTTCCGAATATGTTTTACCGGGTACAAATAGCCATTCATTTGTCCATTCATTCATGCATTCATAACTTCAAAAAGTGTGCACCTTGATCGAGTTGCCTGATCAGACCTAATTTGGGAGTGATGTAGCTGTTGGAAAATGCTCCTTATTAGAGAACTTCAAACTTACAGAAGACTTCCTAAATGTAATTATGAAAATCCCAAAGAACACGTTAATAGGAGCTTTTGAAGTTTCAGATTAGATTTTGGATAAATCCATGTACGCATTGTTCGGCATGTACGTATTGTTTGGCATTGCCTGAACCTTCAGGTAATTCATAGAAATCGTCTTCTTTTTTTGTATGCCATCACCATATATGTTTTTTTAATCTGTGCAGGGGCTGTTGCGAATTTGAGAGGGTGTGGGAGAGAGGCCGCTGCTGTCCTATTTTGGGTTCATATCTTTGCTGTTTTCTCTATGGCGGGATGGATTATCCTCTACCTTAACATATTGTTTTAACTTTTAATAAACTCTTAGTAAAACCATCAACACTCATACGTGGCCTAGTGATATCGGAGGTTATACTATAAAGAAAAGTACGTTTTCCCTTTATTTGAGTGGAAGAGAGATTTAGGGGAAAGATAATAAGATCTCCGATTCAGCTCTGTCAAGTGTCAATAGAATAAAAAAAATTTACTCTGGCAATACAACCATAATGTACCAATGGGAGTTCGTATAATTTCTATAATTATGTGGTCTGATGGCATTGCTATTGCTCTCTCGAAGTGAAGATCACAAGCTTGAGTCATATTCTAATTAAAGATGAATCGTATTGTCATTGAACATACACTATAATAGATTAGAACCATTGTAAAATAAAAGTTTAAAGGGAAAAGGTGCAAATAAGTTTAAGAACTAACCGAAAAAGTGCAAATCATTCCTTTTATAGTAGGCTCTGTCTGGCCGTCGCCATTTGGGGCGGTCACCGGTGTAAGTTTTTGACGATTTTTTTTTAGAATCTTCTTCATTAAGTCTAGTTTATCCATACTAAATTTCAGGTAAAATTTCAACCGGAAAGGCAGTCAAATGATTTTCTGAAATATAATGCGTTGTTTAAGTGTGCAGATATCTTCAAACATTTATTTGAGTGCTGTCACGATTGAATTTTTAGCTGAAATTTGGTATGAGTAAACTAGACTCAATGAAGAAGATGCTCAAAAAATTTCATAAAAAAATCAACCGCGAACCGCCTCAAATGACGACGGCCAGATAGAGCATCCTATAAAAAGGGTGATTTGCACTTTTTCGGTTAGTTCGAAGGCTTATTTGCCCCTTTTCCCAAGTTTAAACTTGAACAAAAATGCTTTCTTTGGTTAATTAAAATTACTAATGGAGAGAAGTGAACCTGTTATATTGAAATTCAATTTTAAATCTTATCAAATAATTGAAAAAGGGTAGTTAATTTTAGACGTTAGATTTTTAAGAATAAGCAAACAAAATACAATAGTTATATTTAGAGGTAGATTTATTTTGAGGCACCAAGGTAAGTGTTTGGAGTTCTAAAACATACCCTCCCCACGGGTAGCTCAGTTGATCAAGTGGTGGGAGGTTTGAATCGATGGAGCAAGGTTCGAATCCCCTCAGCGATCAGGTGGAGTTCACAAAACCTGAAATAAAGTTGGGCCTCTGGTGCGCACGAGTGTATGGACCTACTGCCACACTGGTGACTGAGTTACCGTGGCCAACCTCCCCACCATCATGTCGGGTCGGGGTGGGGGCTGAGATTACACCTTGGATCAATGGAGTTCTAAAAGTCTAAAACATGCCGGGCCATGTGCAGGGCCATGAGTTCATCCATTTATTTAGCCTTTCTGTATATTTCAGTCCCAAATTTTAGTATTCATCCCTTGGACCCTCGATCATGGTTGTAATTTGTAAATAGTCCAAGAGAAAGAAAAATGTAATAACTGTAGTAGATTATATATTCTATATATTGTTTGGCATGAAAGGACAGAGAAAATGAATAGAAACAAATAGTATTTGTGTTTTGAGAACACAAAATGACCTTAGTTCAATCAGGATGTTTTTACCTAGACGGAAATTTGCTGGTCTAGTATGGTCTGATTTGATCTGGTAATGTCTGGTCTTTGTGTTTTTTTAGAAAGTACTATACATCGTGTGATTAAGATTAGTTAAGAATGAGATATATATTGGAATTGTTCTCTTTAAAATGAAATGGACAAGATTTTTAGGACCAAGGTAAGAAGCTAGAGACATGAAATATATATTTGTTCAAAAGTTAATTAATTACATTATTAAAATATACCATATCAATTTAAGATGTCATATGAGTTTTGGACTTGCTTTCGTGACTACTTTCTTTTATATTTACAAAATATTTTTCAATATTAATGTCAATTATAAGCCTGATCGAAGTGTTTATAAAGACGGTGTCTAGAAAGTATTCATATGAAAACTAAGACATATGATTAATTCTTAAAGAATGTTTTCACATAGATCGAAATGAGAGTTAATCCAGTCTCTAAGGCATCTCCACCCATTGGCTTATTAGAGAATTAAGTTGGTGATGTGTTGGACCAGTTTTGGAATTATGATTGAGTGATGAAGATTATTTGGTGAGATTATTTGACAAAATAATCGATTGAAATATGAATCAAGATTATCTCAAGATTATTATGAAGCCAGTATTAATTAGTGAGTTCAGGACCCACAAAAGATCTGATTATATTGAGATAATGAATGATGTAATTTAGAAGATGTGAGATTACTTTGAAAAAATCTACGTGTCATTAAAAAATCTGTTTATTTAAATAACATGAATGTAGATGGAATTAACCTTAATCTAAAGGTTACAACTCCGGTACCCATTTAAAAAATGGGGTACCGTACCTACCACTCACTTGATTGGTTCAAATCATTACATCATTTTTAATTTAGATTTAAATAATTCAACTACATTATTATTATTGGTCTATGTGGACAAATGTATGGTACCTTAAGGGTGTGTTTGGGAGTTGTGTTTTGGAGGGGAGGGGAAGGTTAATGGAGATTTATGATCTTTCTTTTCATGTTTAGGAGTTTAAAAAATTGGAGAGATGGTTTTGGAGGCCTTTTGCAACCCTTCAAAACCCTCCAAATACTTAATTTTAAGTTCCCCCAATTTGGAGGATTTTGGAGGATAATTAATTAACAAGATGATAATTTAAGCTAAATTAGAAATGAATATCAGCTCAACAATTCGAATTTGTCATATCTCAAAGTCATTTTAATTATAATTCCTTCAAAAACTCTCTCATTCCAATTTTATTACTCCCAAATATAAAGAAGGACTTCCTCACCCTCCACTTCATTTCCCCTCCAACAATATACCTTCAAAGTCTTTCCCTCCCCTTCTCTCCAAACTCCCAAACACACCCTAAGGGTACCATAGAATCTAAACTTGCAGTCCAAATATGAACTTACTAACGTGGATTAAATTCATTGAAATATCCCTTATTTTGGCGTTCAATCATCGGCCAAATTCGTCAACTAAAAACTTCAAAAGTATTCAACTCGACATGTCTTGCATCAAATTAATGAAGTTTTTGCTTGTTGGGCCATAAATTGTTGGGCTTAAAGTAGGGCACTTTGTAGGATAGGAGTGGGCCGTGTGGCAATAGACAGGTCCAATAGCGAAGAGGAATCAAAGTCCAACTAGAGTAAATGGAATTCAAAATGGATAGGTAAGCTTATAGCTTGGAGAAAGACTTTGAGACAAGCCTATTTGGATTATGATGTCCGGGAGGTTTCTGACCATTAGTCTAATTTGGTCAGTCATACCCTATTTAAGCCCAATCCTATATGGTAATTGGGTGTATATGAATTTTATTATTTTTTAAATCTGGTATGATTTTCTATAATTATCTTAAAACTCATACCAAATTATAATTATCTTACATTATCAAAACGTGAATGGTGGATATGTGACGTGAGAGATGGTCAATTAAAAAACAATAAATAGAATATCTCTCTCCTTACTTGAACGGTGTTATATGTTTTTTATAAGGTTTTCTCTACAATGTCAAGCATAATGTCTAGATGTAGACATTGTGGTTGAATTGTTGAGAAAAACTTACCAAAAACACATACGACCGTAGAAAGAGGGAGAGAGAAAATTGAGAAATGTCATAAATTTAAACTTTTGTGTGTATCTCTCTCATGGCACATGTGCACCGTGCATATTATAGAATTGGAGATGCTCTAAGAATGATACTCCATATGTTTGTAATAGAAATGACTGGGATAGTGTGATGTTTTTACTTTGATTGTTCTTAGTCCTAAGCCAGATCAGAGAAAACTTGAACAAATATAATATACATGGATGCCACATATTTACCAGACCAGATCAGTTGTGATCAGACTAGGGATGGCAACGGGGCGGATCGGGGACGGTTTTACATATAACCGTACCCGCCCCGTTTGGTAATTCCCCCTCCGCATAACCGCCCCATTACCCAACGGGTAATTTTTACCCAAACCATAACCGCCCCAACAGGTAATGAGTATAACCGCGGGTAACCAAGGGTAATCACTTTATTAAATGTGTCATTGGTATTTTAATATAAAAATAATGTTTTAAAAGGCAAAAAATGGCATCACCTAGACGATTCTAGACTCAAACGCCACATTAAAGTTTCGCATATCTACAAGACGAAAAAGAAGACAACCTAAATGAGTTTGAATCTAAAAATACTTAATCTGAAAAAAAAATTAATCACGAAAGAATCAGATAATAATCAACACGACTATTAAGATCTACTATTTAGGGGTGGGCATTTCGGTTTTCAGTTCGGTTTTCTTCGGTTTCGGTTCGGTTTCGGTTTAATCGGTTAATTTGATAGAAAATGTACCAATTATAAACCGGTTAAGTATACCAATTGATAGACCCAGTATACTAACAATCACATAATCATAGCAGATAAAAAAGAAGAAGCAGATAGAAAGATATGAGATATTCAACGAATCTGGTGTACCGTGATAATGGCCGCTGCTCTCCTTCTCAAGGAGAGCAGCGGCAAACCGTAATCTCTCTATCTCTGCGCCTCTATTCTCTAAAGCCTCAATCATTAGGTTTCCCGTAAGTTAGCCTCCTTTTATGGGAGAGAATGACTAACTTATGGGTTACAAAGAAGCTAACGGGCTGATATACATTTGTGGCCCTTATTACACATTTAATTAATAATTACACAAATACAAAATATTTAACTAGATTGGACACCATAAAATATTCTCAACACCCCCCAGCCCCCCAGACGCCCCTTGGAGTAAAAAAAATCTATTATGAACTTTCATTCGTACACTAGAGTTAGTACATTTGTCATTGATATATACACAATGAAAATTAGAAAATTCTCATCTTTTAGTTGTGGGACAAATAATAGATAAAAATGTAATAAAAATATAACTAAAAATAAACGGGCGGGTAATATAATGGGGCGGACATGCATAAAATCATAACCGCCCCGTTACCCGTAAAAACAAAACGGGTATTCCCCACTTCATACCGTTACCCGGTCAATGCGGTTTTTCCCGGTTTGACCGGGGCGGTTCGATGCGGGTATCCACCGGATCGGTCACAATTGCCATCTCTAGACCGGACCAAGTGATGTTTTGAGAATTATTACAAGTATACCAATCCCCATAGTATTTTTAGAATATGTTTGGTAAGGTTGATTCTGGATAGATTTCATCTTTATATTATTCTCCGTAGCATATAACATAGGCACATAACACTGGAAACAAATAACGATCATTCCATATACATTTGCATTTTTTCTGCTCATTACAGCATATCATATTACTATATCATCATATGAACCAAATAAGGTCAGTAATAACGACCATTCCAAATTTGCTTTTTTTGGCTCATTTTCATTCTCTGCTTTTATAATAATAATCTCTATCGAAAAAGTCAATACAAATAATCCAAACTCGTAAATGCGTCTACATAGATAAATAGATTAAACCTACATAGATAGATTATTATCCTTCAAGAAAATAATTATAGTAATGATATAAAAAACACTAAACTCAAATTTATGACAATGGTGAACAAAGTCAATATTGTATCCTTATATATTAAATATAAAAAAGATTACTCTAATCTATCTATGTAGACGTGTTTATAAGTATGGATTATTTATATAGACATTTTCGGTATGAATTATTATTGTAGATACGCTAAAAGTATGGATTATTGGTATGAATTTCGCCATAAAATAAACCACACAAAATTTGTAACTAACCTATCAAAACCGGTTTTAGCCTGATAAGTTACTAACCTATCAAAACCGGTTTTAGCCTGATAATATATATGGAGTGTTATTTTTAAAAAATTGCAACAATTTTATAGAAAAAAGGTGATAAATACATATGCTTCGAATGTTATACTCAAGAAGCCTATACTTCAATATTATATTCACAAAATACATCAACTGTTAGTCTTTTGCGTACTTTGCAACCATTTCAAGTAATAATAACAGCAATAACAAGAAATAATCACCCATATATCATCAAAATAAATATAGCGACTTTTTGTGATGATTAATTATAATTATATCATATTTTACATCGTAATGATTGTACGTAAAAATGTATAATAATCACCTTAGCTCCAATATTAGCATCCAATTTCTTTTTTATATTATCCCTAAAATATTACTAATAAAAATTTATGGTAAAAAATGTGACTATAAGTTACTATGAGTAAAATTTATAGTCACTATGATATAACATTTGAATACAATTATAATCACTAAAATTACTACTGCCACATTTTTGTCAACTACTTTTATTTTGATTACATATTTCAATTTTTTTGAAATGATGGATTTAAAAGTTGTTATTATTACATTTATGCAATTGACAATATCTTTTTTTTAATGGAATTTATCTCAGAGTTAGAAAGGGGATAAAAAGAAAATACATAATATAGGGATGAACAACAAAAAATACAGAGTTATATATAAAATAAAAAGTGCCATATTTTCAAGGGCTAAATACACATTTAATTAAGCCTTGAATTATATAGGGGGCGGATCAGGTACAAGCAATGCTTATTGTGAAAATATGTGTGTTTATTGTGCAAATATGTGTATGATGCATCTTTGAGATATTTGTATTGCCTATTAATGTTCAAAATATTGTATATTATTCTGCAATGAAATAAGCACATGCATATTACTTTCAAATTGTTGCATCCAAAAAAATTTGGTTTGATTACCAAAATGCCACTGCGTCTATATCTTATAGTTCAACTAATCGGATGTACAAGATGAGTTTGTAGTTTGTAAATTAGGAGGTGTTTGTATTTGATCCCTTATCTGACGAGAGCTCATAAATAAGTGTGTGTATTTTATATTAATAAAAAAATAATTATTAAATTTATATTTTGTATTAAAAGAATATATATATTGTAGAAGCGTATATATGTTATACATGTTGTTGAAAAGAATTATGCTTCGTCTTTTATTACCCATAGAATTACACATAAATACACACATATATAGCCAAGTATAATTTTGAAATGATCAAACTGTAGTTTTTATAACAACTAAAATAAAGATTGTTCACAATTGTGTCTAGAGTAGTAATGAAATTAAAGTTACCATGACACTACATTGTAATAACTTTTAGTCATATTTGTGTAAATAAGTTTTATTTTAGTAATATTTCTGAAAAATAAGCCTTGTTTTAAACCTCGACGGTTCAGTTTGGTCACCGGTCCGGTTTTGTAGTGTTGGTAATAATAATAATGCTAATTCTTAATCTGGAAAGATGATAAATTAAGAGAATGTAACATACAAAATTCATAAAACCTTTCCAATTCAAAAGATCACTACATCACTTCTCTTTTCAATTTATGTGTATTCCATTTTATTCATTCTTTTTGGGATTATATATTAACATTACACAGCTGCATCAGACCCACAACCATATATGGGAGTTTTCCATAGCCTTCTTTATCTGATAACCTGTTATGCTAAGTAATAGTGTCAGGAAACAAATTTTCTTAGATCAATGAGGAAAGATGGAGAATGCAAAAGTCAGAAAAGGAGAAACAGTCCGCGGCTTCTTGCTCTTAATGTCAACAAGGAAACTCAGGAGAGGAAAAGGTTTGTTTCAGATGAAACAGATGAGAAGGAAGAATCCAAAGGTGAAAAGCCCAGCCTACACTCCCTGGCTAGGGTGAGGGGCAAGAGAAAGTTCCCCTATTTGGCTGCCAAACAGGTTTCCGAGGTTGGATCTTAAAAAAGTATATATAAATAAATATTTAAAAAAATGGTGATCTGAATGAAGTTCGTCCCATCACGAGTCTAATTCAAGGCCTTACTCATGTGTATCTCTTTAATACTTATATACATGCGAACTTTAAACAATTATATTCACCATCACTTTGTGTTACTTTCTAAAAATATGTTATTTCAGAACTCGTTCTTGTTCTTTTCTTCGTTTAGCAGGGTAGAAGCAAAGTGGAGAAGCATGAAAACTCATCAACAAACAGTGGTAAGTCCTTGAATTCATAGAAAATCACAAATTTATAGTCATTCATGACTTAACATATTGGTTTCTATAGAAGAGATGTCACCAGTTTCCTAATGTACTTAGTCTGAAGTTCTAATTTAATTATCAGATCCTCCCTTGTTAGAAAACCTTGATTAATAACATCTCTACATCTCTATAAGCATCAATAATGTTAGGGGTGTAATGGGAATATATAAAATGTTGGTGTCTCTTTAAGCATTAAACACTTGTGCTTGATGCTTAGGTTCTTTCTAATCTAAAATGATACTTCAAAATGTTCGGTTTTCTCTACATCTCTATAAGCATCAATAATGTTAGAGGTGTAATGGGAATATATAAAATGTTGGTGTCTCTTTAAGCACTAAACACTTATGCTTGATGCTTAGGTTTTTTCTAATCTAAAATGATACTTCAAAAAGTTCGGTTTAAGCCTAATAAGTCGAAAAATAGGCTCACCAAACTGGCTCTAAAATATACAGAGTATTGTTTTGGGTTGAAGAAATTGTTTATAGTTGTTCGTTCTAAACACCATAAAGTAATACAAGTATATGTTTCCAATTATCATGGGCAATCACGCGAACGCGCATGTCGCGTTTATAAACTAGTACATTAAGACTTGTCAATCTATATTGACATAGTAGTTCAAAGCCTTATATGTTGATTTGTACTTTTTAAATTTTATTTATGTGACATCGCTCAACAATCAGAATTGGATTCTAATTGTTAGGTGTACAGACAAAATTGCCAGAAAAGTGCCTACTCGAGCTAATCCTAGACATATTACAAAGGTACCACTTTACAAATTTAGGATACACTAATTATTAGTGTTTTCAAGTATGACAGTATGACTCACTATGTCTTAATAGGAGAGATGCATATGAAATATTTGCTGAACCAGTGGATCCTGATGAGGTTGGATCATATGCACTTCATTTAATGTGTTAGAGTTTTTTGTTGTTGCTAGCATTGGATTAAAACTTGACGATGTTTTCTTTATAAAGGTTGAGAATTACAATGATATCATTAAAGAGCCTATGGATTTCGGCACCATGAGGGCTAAACTTCATGAAGGGTTGTATGAGAATCTTGAACAGTTTGAGGTAGGAACCAATCTCAATTATATACTCTTATATTACAAAATAAGTCACTAAAATGCTTAAGGTAATTATATTTGTTACATGTTGAAAAACATACCTATACTGATACCCTTACATTAAAAGTAACAAGCTAATTAGGGTGAAATAAACACAGAAGGAAAACGTAGTCATTTTACTATGGTCTACTTTATGAAATTTAATATGCCACTTAATTGTGAGAACAATGCATTTAATTAGTAGACAATTGTCTGAGAACGGAAGTCGTATATGACTCACCAGTTAAATTACTATACACATTTTATCATCATCTTCAAATTTTTGTTATGCAGCATGATGCATTCTTGATCCCAGAAAATGCTATGCACTTCAACTCCTCTAGCACCATTTATTTCAGACAGGTATTTTTTGAGAATTTGTCCCCTTTTTAAGGGCAACATTTGTAGGACATCTGATTAAAAGGCCATATGATTTGTTGCAGGCTAGGTGCATAAACGACCTTGCCAAGAAAGTATTCCATGTCCTAAGAACTAATCCTCAAAACCTTGAGATGGAATTCGCGGGGTCAAGACGAAGATCCATGAGGAAAATGAAAAATGAAACCAAAGAGCCAGAGCCAAGCCCCCAGAAAGATGTCAAGGCTAACAATGCTTCAAACAACACCCTCTTCAGTTTTGGTGAACCATCAACACTCACAGGGATCAATAAAGGGAGCCAACGGTTTGCTCAAACTAATAACAAAGGTCGTGTCTACTTCCAAGGTGAGTGTTTTCCGCCGAGAGAAATGAAGTCTTTATTGATTTGCTTATCACAATCATTCTTTGATAGGTAGCAACAATGAAGATAGTCGACGATCCACATACATAACTTGGAAGTCCTTCATTGGAAATGACTGCCCCAAAACAACAATTCTTGTGAGTTTTTCTTTTCCATGTATGTTTTTTTACCCCGGAAGGCAAACCACCAAAATCAGTGGGGTAAATGTCTGGGGGACATTTACCGAATCTTATTAAGATTTAAAACTGAAATACAAAGATAAGAGGAGGGTTGTACCAAACCTCTTAATAATTACACCAAACATCTAAAAGAAGGAATGTTAAATAAATCTAAATAATAAGATCCTCTAACAAAAGGAGGAAGAGAAGCCAAAGATGAAATAACTTGAAATTGGGTCGGACGATATTCAGCCAAATAATGGGCTGGCCAATTCTTTTCCATGTATGTAACTCTCTATTGAGATTTGCGCATAAATTTTAGGTCGCTATTAAGACTTGGGTTGAATTGTAGGTGATGTAACCCATAGCTCGATATGTTTGTTTATATTCCATTAACATCATAAATTCATAACCATCATATATCACTTAACGATGTTTCCTTTTATGTGTCATGTATTAAGGTTAATTCCTTTTCATCCTAGTAAGAGTTGTTTAAAACCTTAAGTTGGTTTACTTAATAAAATAATGACAAAGATATGACTAAAGTTGGTTTGCATTGACAATAATGCTATGTAGAGATTCAATTTTACTTTGTGTGTCTACTGAAGTAATTTCATAGTGATTGTGTAGTCATATTTTCACACATAAATTCTATTTTCGTAGTACCATAGGAAACACCCCATATACAAGATGTAATATCTATACATTAACATTATGATAATCATATCTCAATATTTCACTAAGCGATATTTCATGTTTCTTGTATAGTCAAACGAGCTGAACATGAACTACAAAGAGAGCTTGATGAGGTTTGTTGAAGATTTAGGGCCCACAGCAAAGAGGATTGCTGCCATGAGACTACAAGCTCTTCATCTGTATACCCCCACATTCCGATCCCCGTCTTACCAAGTCCCCACATCTTATGCCACATTTAGAATGACATCCTTTTTGGACATGAATTCAGCAGCCGCAACATCCAATCCTCAAATAGGCCTACACGTCTTCACCAAAGAGACAAAGGATACCACGAAGGATACATCGCGTGCAGATATAGACTCCAACCAATTGAAAGATTCAAACAATCCGGTGGGATCGATGTTGCAGTACAAAAGAAACAGAAAAGCATCTGAAGCAGCAAATAAGTGTGGTAGTAGTAATTTGAGTGGAAAGCAAGTGGACTCCCCTTCTCCCATTGTTAATCCTTCTGCAGATTTGAACTCTTCACCATTGGAGAAGTTAAGCGGAAGCAGCAAAAGTTCAGTTGATGAACAGCTCCAAAAGGCAGGAGGGAGTTCAGTGATAGTTGACACAAGAAAGCCAAACGATCGTAATACACGCCCGATCGTATTGGCTCTTGAGCAGTCATACAGCCCTAAAACGCCAACCGAGCTTAAGATGAGAAATAAGGGAAATAAAGCAAAACAACGAAACAAGCAACCTATGCTCCCAACACCTTCAGACAAGGCTGATGGGTTGATTTCTGAAGCCTACATGACGGCCCCAGTGGCTTTGCCACCAAAACCATTATTGGGATCAAGGTTCACATTTGATCTCGCGTTCTTGAGAGCGCGGCTAAACCATATGAATTCAGTAGCAGACAAAGATTTTGGGCAGCAGTCATCATATGATCCAAGCAGCAGAGTCACTGTAGGAGATATTGAGCATCGGTCACTCTATGATCAGAGCAGCGGAATTAATCTAGGGGGTTTTGGGCAGCGGTCATTTTATGAACATAGCAGCAGACATGGTAGTCTCACTAGCTTACTGAATAGCAAAGATGAACATCAGCAAGAAACATCAGTAAGGCCTTTAATACATAGAAGTAACAATAATTATCAGCCGTCATGGCATTCATCTACCCCTCCCTTAGATTATAATCTATCCCTTCAGTTATAGAGGAAATGCTAGCCTTTTGATTGAAACTCATTCTATTGTTTTTGGTACACCAACTTTTGCACCACCTTTTACAACGTTGTCATCTTATCCTTTCACAGATACACACATATATGAGATATGCACAAATATGACACTCGTGTGTGCATGCATAGACACAATGAGTCATTGAGTACAAAATTGTGTTTGTGCAAACTTGATGTAAGACATGGTGTGGACATAACGTTATTTTTTCCGTAGCTTCTGTCATGGAATACCGACACAATAATAAGCACCTTTGAACACCCAAATCACCATTTTCGTCTACTTCTCGCTTGATTCCCTTATCATAATAAACTTATTATTAAAGCTTACTCCACTTGATTTTTCTTAAAACTATGAAATTATTTAAGATTGATTTTTTTTACATTACTCATATAACAACACATGCACTATTACACTTCATGATGCCAAAACCACACATCAAGGGAATCTTTTTACTTAAATGCATGAGCCAAAACATTTTAGAAGCTATGCATACACTTAAGGTTGATTTGGAAGGGCCAATTCTACCTCATCCCTATTCACAATGTTATACGAGGGTAGGGGTGATTGTTGGTTCAATTTTTCAGTTTTGGTTTGGTAAGTTCAGTTTCACTTTTAAAACCAAGACTAGAACAAGTATCTTTAGATCGATTTTTGTTCAGTTATTTTAGGTTAGTTTGTCTCAGTTTTGGTCAATCTCGGCATATGTCAGTCAGCTTTGGTCCACTCCATTGGTTTTTGAAGCATAAAGCTTAAATCGTAAATTGCAATACCTATGTTTTGGTCAGTAACAATTTTGTTCAGTCCAACATTGGTCTTTTCAATTACATTGTCAGACAATTTTGGTTTGTCAATTGTTTAGTTTAGTCCCAATACAACGCAAAATCAAATTAGCACATAAGAAAACTTGTTTCTTTTCCTTTACATAAAATAGTACACACATCTCAACCATATATGCATGCTTACTCAGACCAATCCAGAAATTGATCTATATCTACTTCACTATTTTTGTTCTACTTTTCCATTTAAGTCCATTCTACTAAACTTGTCTGTTACCATACTTGTAACGATTTATGTGGCTTATAATAACCACTTCATTCTTCATAAATTTAATATCAATCACACAAAAATATTTTTCTTTATTATGTATGTTGTTCTCTTTTGCATTGTTACATACACTAATACTCCCTCTCTCATTAAATTATTACCCAATTTGACCGGATACAGTTTATGAAAGTGAAAACTGTGGGGTTTAGAACTTTAGATGTACTTAAAATGCAACAACATCTCAGGCTTGTTCCCAAAAGAGTTTGGGGTTAGGTAACATGAATAGAGTAAAAAATAATGTGAATCGTACTCCTTTCCTTTAATGAAATGAGCAAAAAAATTGGAACGAATGAAAAAGAAAAGTATGTTAATAAGTTAAGAGATGATCAACTATCATCCACCTGTCTCTATCCCACTCCTCTCCCATTACTCGGTCAATTCCGAAAATCGGAGAACATCACCTATGGAGTATATTGCCTTATACCCCATGAGCTCAAAGATATATGATCCAGGTCGGGAGCCCAAGTCATTTACTCAGTGGACCGAGGTCTTGCGGCGAGCAAGGCCACTATCGTAGTCTATGCCGGACAGCCCATTAGCAAGCATATTCTACCTTGGGTTGAGCTGTAGCAGCGAGGCTGGGTATAGTCTCGAGTACTCTTGATTCCGCACTGATGCTATTGGACAAGGCTAAGAGACCTGATGCGGCTTGATTCGATTACCGCTTCTACGTAGCGTATTTAAAACTAATGTAAGTGGTGCAGACTCACTGGTGTTGGTGCTAATATATTTTACATAGTATTTATTGTAAGACCTTATTTTAATAGGTTGTTGTGTATAAAGTTTAGAAACTTGTACTCTTGTAGCAAACAATATACTCCGTGTGTTTTATTTCAAGGTTTATATGTATATATAGGGGGCAGATCATGTACAAATTGTACTTATCGTGCAAACGTTTGTACGATGTGACTTTACGTTATTTGTATTGCATATTGAGGTTCAACATGTTGCATATTATTCGGCCATAAAATAGCAGTTGCATATTAACATTCAAAAAGTTGCATCCTAAAAAAGTTTGATTTTATTACAAAAATGTCACCTTGCCTTTATAGTCTTTAGATCAACTCGTCTGATAGTCAAGATGAGTTTGCAGTTTATATATTAAAGAGGGTTTGTATTTGATCTTTATTCCACAAACACACACAATCATGCAAGAAGGGATTATATTTGATCTCTATTCTACACACACAGCCAGTCATAATATGGAAATGAAGATAAGGCATACAAGTTTTAGTAATCATATATGAGAAAGTCTATTACTGCCTATGTCCAGTCATAATATGAAAATGAAGATAAGGCATTCAAATTAAATAAAACAGGAGTGTATGATTCACATTGAATTTATAATGTCTGATTAAATTTGAATCACAAAGATGTCATCAATTATATTAGAAAATAAATGTAGTGGACGGATTTAAAATATGAGACAAAATAACACAATCTAGAGCATTTCTTATTTAATACGTTATGCTATTTTGTCTCAAAATATTTTGTTTTTTCATTTTTGAATTTACCTTCCTAAAAAACTATCAAAACAAATAAAATAGATAGCCACTACAAAATAAATCGCTATAGCCAAGGAATTTGACTCGGAATCCTTCAGAATATTCCCAGACTAACGGGTTTGGCTCGGTTTTGGCTCGGAAATATTTTCCCAGCTACCCAGCTCGAGCGAAATGGATTGGCAAGGAATTTGTAATCCGTTCCAACTTTGACACGGTTTTTGGCTCCGCTTTTGTAGCACCATTTAGTCCATATAATCTGATAGTTTTTGTCTCGGATATTTTCCGTGCCAACTTGTCTCGGATAATGCCGTCACAACAGAACCCAGATGGGGTTTCGAATTCAAAATTTTGGCACGGAATATTCAAAATTTCAAATTTGAACTGTGTCTGGGATACAAAACCGAGCCAAATGAAAACTATTAAAAAAATACCGTACAGGTTTTACCGTACACCTATACGGTATATGTTTTTTATACGCAAGTAATAGCTAAATTAAAAGAAATCAATACAATGAACAAATTAACCAGAAAACATGTTAAACAAGAATAGCAAATAAACAAGTACATTGTTATTTGGGGTAAAAAGCACCCCAATAAAGTTGTCCAAATTGTCCACATTGAACAAATCAACAACAAAACCCCAGAAATAGTTCATCACAAGAGATGTCCAAAAAACATTAGATACAAGTCCAGAAAGCTTTAAAAAAACAGAAAACTACAACCTAGCCTCCACAACGCCATTGTCACCCATCTCATCGAAAATGTCGTCCATCCCGACTTCATTGGAATCACCATTCAGGCCGTTCATCAGCACCGGTGTCAGAGTTGAGAAGCTAGAAAAGTCGGGCAATGGGATGGACGGGTTACTGCTGCGTACTTGCTCCATAAATGCCATAAAGGCTCCAGACATACTGACCATTTGAGCGGCCATTTGAGCTTGAACTTCCTGCTAGTGCCGTGCGAAGCGTGCCTCAACCTCCTCCCGGATGCGCCTATCTATCTCCTCTTGAGTTGGCCCTTGGCACGGGCCGTCAACGCTTTCTAGCGATCGAGCCTCTGACCCGGTCCCCTACCAGCGCCCTCTATACTTCGGCACAACCTAGCAAGACAGCTCGGTATCATCTTCATCATAGGACTTCCCTTCAGACTCCGCAATGGCTTTCATTTCACTGTATTTGTTCTGCCAAAACAAAAGATTATGTTCTGCATCAAGAAAAAAAGCTTTTTCATAATATAAAGATTTATAAATAAACACACCCGGGTTTCAACCACACGAGCAGGGGGTCACCAATCTTCGGCACATACACTTTCTCAAACACCTCAATTTTCAGCGGTCGACGATTGAAACTCTTAGTCTGTTAACACAAAAGCAGAATAATTCAATTAATAAGTACGTCAAATAAAATGTCAAAACTAGTAAAACAGTTAAACATATAAAACACTAAAACAGTAAACATTAAAACTAAAATAGTAAGGCATATCAAACAAACTACCAAAACAATAAGACCAAGTAAGACACTAAGTCAAACAAACTGTCACAACTAGTAAAAATAATACTAAGACATATCAAAACAGTAAGTATTGATCCTAAACAGTAAGTAAAACATAATCATAATCATAAACAGTAAGTAAAATAGTTAAACATATAAAACAGTAAACATTAAAACTAAAATCGTAAGACATATCAAACAAACTGCCAAAACAGTAAGACCAATTAAGACCATCATATCCTAAAATTCGAAAAATGGTAATTTAATTTGGCTCGGAAATATAACGGCTATATTTTGGCACGACTATTTGCTCGGGTTTGGCTCGGAAATATAACGGCTAGTTTTTGAATCAACATTTGGCTCAGAAAAACATCAAATGAAGCAAACAGATAGCTTTTGGCACGGGTTTTGGCTCGGAAATATAACGGCTACTTGTTGACTCAACATTTGGCTCGGGAAAAATCGACGCTCCCAACGGGCACTTTTTTGGCACGGAATTTGGCTCGATGTTGTCACGGAAACGCAACGTCTATTTTTTTGTTCAAGAAAGGGCTAGGATTTTGGCTCGGTTAGCTTTTGGCTAGAAATTTTCTGAGCCAAACCAAAATAAACGTGTTATTGATTTTGGCACGGAACGGTCACCAAGGCAAATTGTGACGGATTTTGGGACGGAAGACCTCGGCGGTCAACTTCTTTTCTAATTTTTCGGGTATGGCTCGGAAGTTGCCTCGGAATATTAAAATCCTCGTTTTGGTTGGGTTTTTTCCGAGCCAAAGCCGTCATAGTACTGCGCGTCGACGTTTTTGAGCCAAAGTCCGAGTCAAACCTGGTTGGGCGTTTTCCCGAGCCAAAGTTCTGTGCCTATACCGATGTTTTTTGGTAGTGAGCTAAATATACCGTACAACTGGTTGTACCGTGCACACTGTACAATCGGATATTTTATGTTAAAATATGAGTATACCGTTCAAAAGAAATGAATATTAATATTAAATTATAAAACTAGCACAATAAACACTACAAAAAACACGCCTGTAGTCACGGATTTAGTCACGGACCACAGTGTAAAAAATTTGTGACTAACTATGTTAGTCACGGATCAGGTTTGTGACTAATTTCAAATTTAAAAAATAACCCGCCGAAGACACAATTGGGTTGGCTGGAATAGGTTTGTCACGGATACAATCCGTGACTACAAGTAGTCACGGATGTAGTCACGGTCATATCCGTGACTACCTTTTTTAAAAAAATCATGACTAGCCCGTGACTAGAACCGTGACTAACTAGTCATGGACCAAATTCGTGACTAGCGTCCGTGACTACAAGCGTGTTTTTTTGTAGTGAAATATTTTTATGATCATACAATGATAATATAGTTAAATGAATAAGTTGATTTGTAGCATATATATTACGTGAAGATCATGATACTTAGTTGCATGCTTCTAATACTTAATTGTTCTACTTGTACAATGATTTAATACTAATACTTTTAAACTATATACTCATTTGTTTTAACATAAAATATCCGATTGTACAGCGTGTACGGTAGAACCGGTTGTATGGTGTAGGCTCTCCTACAAGACATAAAAGCACTAACACAAATCTTTTACTTTACTGTTCACTTTATCTTTTTCTTGTAAATATTTTTACTTTATTACTTATTAGATCTTTATTTATTACGTAGTAATATTCAATAAAATTACAATGCAAGTAAACTAAAAAAAGAGTGCGCGTATAAGGTTTTAAAAAAGAATTGGAAAATGAGTAGATGAAAGAGAAATTAAAAATGTTTTAACTTGAGTGATTTCACACTCAAACCAAACTAGTTTAGATCTGGGATGAGACTTAAATGGAGCACATACACATGATTATACTTAAATGAATCAGATTAGTTCGGATTTAAACAGATCATACCTGATTTCGATAGTTATAAAATACACATGGCCTACACGAGACTCGTTAAAATCAGATCAGATCAGATCAAATCAAATTTAAACATGCCGGATCATACCATCATAAAACTTCAGTACAATTAAAAACATTACCCTTTATAATTTTTTGGGGTTTAAATATGATTTTAGTCTCTGCAAATGTAGCATATTTTGTTTTACGTCCCTGTATTTTTTTTTTTGTTTTTCATTCCTGAAATTTATGTTGGTTTTTCTTTAGTGCCCACCACTGATGATAATAACTTCCGTTTGATCTCTATATAACCCGACTGATAGGATTTCTCTAATTCTTTGTCATATTATTCAAAAAATATTTAATTTGATTTTTTAGAAAGTTTTTAGTACAAATTTTAAATATGTGAATAATAATTTTTTTTATTGTTTTAACTCTCATGTTTGCCTCAAAAAAGTTACTCCGAATAAAAGGATAAATTTAAATGTTTCTAGTTAGTGATGGCTAAAAACAAAATAATGCATATTACAGAGATGAAAAACAAATAAATTACTCTCTCCATTACTTAAAACTTTGCCAAATCTCATTTTTGGATGTCCCACTAACTTGGCACTTTCCCTTTTAAATAAAAAATTTGTGGTTCCAGTTATTTCTCTCTCCTCAACATAAACTTCAATCATACAATTTTTGTTTTATTAATCCTCATGACGGTCAAACTTGATAAAGTTTTAAGGGACGGAAAGATTATTTTACAAGGATCTAAAATAGAATGCCATATTCAGAGATACTAGAAATGTATTTAAACTCAACAGCCCTTTTTGACAAAACATTACCCTTTATTATACTCTTCCCCTCTCTATTTAAAAGATCACTACATTAGATCTTGACGCAATATTTAAAAGGGAAATAGTAGAGGTGATGAATAATGTAGAAAAAGTAGAAGAGGGTGTGAGAAAGTAGAAAAGAGAAGATAATTAAGTATAATTAAAAGAAAAACTTAAGGAAAAGTTTAGCAAAACTTTAAAATGCATTCCAAACCAAAAAATGTACTCCCTCCTTCCCTTAAAACTTTGTGATGTTTCCTTTTTGGGATGTCCCAAAAAAAACTTTGTCACTTTCCATTTTAATCAATTATTTTGTGGTTTTTGTTATTTCTCTCCTCTGTACAAATCTCAACCACACAATTTTAATTTATTATTCTTCGTGCCGTTCAACTTATACTAAATTTTAAGGGATGGAAGTAGTAGTAAATTTTTAAATAGGGAAGAATAATTAAAAAGAGGAAGAGAGAGAAAGGACCCGAGGGCGCCAATACCGGAATTTTGCAAGAGAGTAACTGTACTGAAATGAGTTCGTTAACGCAATAACGCCTGTTTATGCAATTTGTCACCATCTCGCTCGCTCGCTCTCATTTCTCGCTGCGAACACGGTTAAATAAATGGTGGTGGTTTACGGCCGTAGCCGGTGGATTTCCGGAGGTTCTGCGACGCCGATTTTTTATGATTTTGGGGTGTCAAGCGATTGCGTGAAGATCCATTAGAGTTTTTTGATTGAATCCGAACAGAAAGGATGGCATGCAGGCGAAGACACGGCGGTATCACGAGGTCGGCCACATTCAATGACGATATTTTCCGGCCTTCTCAGGAAGAGGAGGAGGGCGACTCGATTTCCTCTTCTGCGTCTCAGTCTTTGGCCGCTCAGGCAATTAGAGCCTCTGCTGCTCACCGCGAGTCCTCCGCCCACGCGCAGTCTTCCTTCCGAGATCGATCTAAGGTGATGGATTGTCATTTCCTAATTAAAGGATTAGCCCCCATTCCCGCATCAATTTCCTCTAAATTAATTAATACTACGTAGTTTTAAAGGGTAGAGAGCTGGAAATATATATAAAGACAGATTAGTCATTGAGAATAATATTGTCCGGGTATTGTATTGACTTGAATATGAGCATTAAACTTATAATGGAGTCATTTGGGTGAGGGGCTCCACCTTTTTTTAGCATAACCTTACAGCTTAAGACAGGAAGTTCAATCTGGTGAAATATGATAATCTCCTGATGTATGAACAATTACATTCAATCAGGGAGGTCCTACCTATGATTATACGTCGATGTCGAGTACAAATGAAGGCGGCGGTTTTTGGGGTGTTCTAGCGAGGAAGGCTAAAGCAATTCTCGAGGATGATACCATGTCCCATCAATTTGAGCCTAGGAATATGAGTTCTCCTAGAGCCAGCAAGGTGATTATTAGTCCATGCCCTCATTGCTACATTCTGTGTTAATGGATTAGCCATAGTGCTGCTTCTGATTTTTTGTTCTTCATTTTCATCATTCTCAGACTTCCCAGTACCATCAGTCGTTTCAAAACTCTGATGGTTCTAGGAAAACAGAGAGTCCTGCATTTCAAAAGGGAGTTGATGCACTCACATCGTCACTCAATCAAATTGGTGGTAAAATGGGAACTGCATTTGAGGTAATCTCTCTGTCTCTTCGCACATGCAGATTCATTGTTTTTCCTTGTTGAGGGCTGGCAAGTTTTGTTGCAGGATAGAATGAGGAAATACCCGTATATATTTATTTGTTATCTTTGTGGTACCATATATGGACACACCACATACTGTTCTACTTTAATTCTTCTTATTCATTTCATTCCCACAATGGTTCTGTAAGATAAAGATTGGTTGCAGATCTTAGTGATTCGGACATGATTCATTGGAGGAGAAATTAATTGGACCTACATTTTCTATCTTTTGCTTCAGGAAAGACGAACTACGGTTGATAATAAAACTGTAGTCAACAATCAAGAAATGGGAAAACTGCAGATCAGGAGAAAGGTTCCCAACAATCTCAGTGAAGAAGATAATCAGGTGTCTGGTGGTGTATGTAGCCCGTGGCAGCAAATTCCACCACAACCAACTCAGCTGCAGATGCACACTACTAGTCCCGAAGATCAACTCAAGGCATCTCGCGACGTAAGGTGCCAACTTGTGTGATGGCTATTTTTGGACTACAGTAACCCATCATGATTTTGAATTTTTATTTGAGGGATTTCTGAAGTTTTTTAAGTTCCTTTTGGTAATGGTTTTTTGCCTGAAATATGCCTCAATATGCTAAAAGGAAAAGATTTGATTATCATCAATTTCTGCCAATCAAGTAGATCATGATAATGCTACCAAATAGGACCTTATTATATGGGAAAACTAATGAAACCAACCAATCCAAAATTAATTTATGAAAGGAGCTCATGTTGTCTATACATCACACCGTTTGTAATGGAGCCAAACATTCATTATTTTTTGACTTGAGAATATAACTGTTTGCGCTTCTTTGTTATGAAGCAGCAGTCAGTCAATGCAATTTTCGTTGCGATTTTCACTATGGGTCATCCGACCCCCCTACCCCACCATAGTGGGAGCCTTTGCGGCACTAGGGTAATGATGATGATATGATGATGAGCTAATGTTGTCTATACAGACCACTGACCACACTCCATGCTAAAACAAACAATGATAGTGTTTACAGTTCATCTAAAAAAGACAGTGATAGTGATGTATAGAGGTGATAACAAGGATTGCCACAAAAGTAACAAGGGCGATATGTTAGTGTCCTTAACAGATATCTATATGGGGCTTAACTTTTATTGTCTTTTAGTATCTTCTTGGTGATAAATTGCATGTTTGTGCTGTCGATGTGATGTAGGTGGCGATGGCAACAGCTGCTAAAGCTAAACTTCTTTTGAGAGAACTAAAAACGGTTAAAGCAGATCTGACATTCGCAAAACAGCGATGCTCGCAGCTGGAAGAAGAAAACAAGATGCTTCGGGATGCTCGTGAAAAGGGAGGCAACCTTGCTGATGATGACATGGTAATCTCTTACATGTCTGTTTGTGGTGGCCATGTACCTTGACTTTATAACTCTTAAGAGTCTCGCATAGTGACAATAAAGAGATATACGATAGTACTTGAGTTTGTAGGACCTGGAGTTAAATTGTGACCTTGTTTATTGATCCCGGCCCAATTATATTCTCTCTCATGCAGAGACAACCGTTTATTAAGACTGTTTTGATTGAATGGGGCACAGATAGGATTGGGTATTGATAAAATTAATATAAATTGGGATAGGAAAATTGATATTAATCTGGATTGAGATTGAAAGGGCTATGAAATGAAAGTAGTACATAGAAATAATATAATAAACTTCAATAGGTATGGTCAAATCAGGAACAAAAAACATAGGTGACAAGGGCGAGCTAGCGTCTCGGCAAGACTACAAAAACATTGAAAAAAAGAGACATAAACACTATCGATTTAGGACACACTTTCCGCTAGTAGTAATTGATGATCAAAAGGATGGTAATTGGTCATATAATCCATAGTACTTATTTTTTCATTTGCAGATAAGGCATCAACTTGAAACCTTACTAGCAGAGAAGTCCAGATTAGCAAATGAGAATGCTGTGTATGCCCGGGAGAATCGGTTCTTGAGAGAAATTGTAGAATATCACCAACTGACTATGCAGGACGTGGTGTATTTGGATGATGAGGGAGCCATTGATGAAGTCACAGAAGTTTACACGCCCACTACTCTTGGTGGAGTCAGGGGGGTGTTCTCGTCTTCTCCAACATCCCCTGCATCCCCTCGCTCACTCCCTGATACAATTAGCTCCTCCCCTGTCACCAACTTTCCCATGATGAAGAGAAGCTCTTCCGTCAACAAGTTCCCTCTTCCTCTTTCACCCCAACTAACGCCTGATGTTCCAAAGCTTGATCCCCCGCCATGTTTCAGAGCTGAAGGTTCTAAGAGACAATAACAAACCAACACATCTATTTATTTCGTTCAATTAATTTCCATAAACAACACTCATTATATACTTCTCTTCAGGATGGTATTTCTCCTTATGGAGGTTTTTATATACTACTATTATTAAAGCAAAATCATTGACAAAGTAGGAGCTGAACAAGAGTTTTTGTGATACATATTCATTACGTTATCCTGTATTTGATTTCTCATCCATCATCATGCTAGCTTAAAGATCAGGTGGGTGATGAGGTGCCTAAATCTAACACTTTTGGTTTACATGTGCCATATTGCGATTAGCTAGTCATATTACTCGGTTGAGGATGATTAATTCTAAATTTACTGCGAGGGCTCGTGATTGGGTCATGATTTGCTATCTTGTTGTAACTTACCTGTTTTTTGGAGATTTTTAAAACAAGCCATTATATTTACATTAAGAAAAGTCTTAGTCAAAGATCTCATCATGGTAGCCACTGAATTACTTCAGTACTGTATCAATATCGTTGTATCTTTTGAAAATAATTAGGGGTGTTCGGAACTAATTCTGATTCGGCTTCTTTTTAAAGTAGAAGCAGAATCAGAATCAGTTTTCAGAAGCTGGTCACCCCCAGCATCTAAAAAAACTGATTCTAGGAGTAAATTAGAGCACCAGAATCACTTCTGCACTTTCACCTAAATACCCCAACTTCTTCTTCTGCTCCCTGAAGGAGCAGAAGCAGTTTTAAGAATCAGATCCAAACATCCCCACAATATACCGATATACTTGAAAATACAATCCAACATTTTTTAAAATTATAAAAATGAACAAAACACCCTCCGACTTTATTATGTTCATGTTGTTTGAATTATGTTTACTTATTATTTGTATCGATGTTGTTTAAATTAGCTTTCCAGAGGATTTGATGTTTTAGTATGTGTGACCTTGAAATGTTGAAGCATTATTATAATAATTCTTATTCAAAACTATATAGGACATGAATAACTAAATTAGTATAATTACAACAACATTCAAGTCTTAGTCTCAAAAGACTTTGAGATTGGCTAGGTTAATGCGGAGTATTAGTATTTTGTAGAATTTTTATTAATGTTTGGTGAAATTCATAACAATAATCCTTACTTTTAGGAATTTTATAATAATAATCTCTACTCAGAGTGTTCATATAAATAAATTGAACTAGCAATGGTATTCATAAGAATAAATTTAAGTAAATTCAAATTAATACTCCCTTCGTCCCTTAAAGTTTGTCACACTTTCCCGAAACGGATGTCCCAAAATGATTGTTATACTTTTTCAACTTCCTTATTTGCTTAAAAAACTATACCAAACAGTGTCAAACAATGCAAAACAGTGCCAAACAGTGTCGTTATAGTGTGAAACAGTGTCGCTACAGTGTAAAGTCAAATTCATCTCCTTAAAACTTGTGAAGTCAAACTATGACAAACTTTGAGGGACGGAGGGAGTACTTGTTTAATACTCTCAACCCATACTCCCACTTTTTCCTTCTTCACACTTCTTCTTGTGGCAAATTTAAACTAAAACTCGTTTAATCTCGACACCATTTTCGTCATATGTGATTCTCTCTAGGTTGGAACATAAAAGTGTTCGAGACGGAGATTGATGAAGGGGAAAGTGAGAGTATTAAATGGGCACTAATTTGAATTCACTTCAGTTTATTCTTATGTAAACAATTGGTAGTTCAGATTATTTTGTAGACACTAAATAGGAATTATTATTGTAGAATCCTTAAAAGTATGGATTATTCTTATAAATTTCACCTTAATGTTCTTAACATGTCACTAGTAACACTGGTTTTGTATATTTCATTTGGTAAATCATAATTTGTTGTGTTAGAATTCTAGTATGACATAAAATTTTAAATCAATATTGATACAATCCCAATTCCGAACCAGGACCATTCTGTTATTTGCACTTGACCATGTCAGAAATCCATTATTGAACTAGAACATATAACTAGTGATGGATTCGGGCCGGGTCGGGCCCGGGCCGGGCCTAGGCCCGGTCGGGCCGCCGGTTCAAGAACAGTGGGCCCGGGACCGGCCCGAGGGTTGGACGGGTACGGTTCGGGCCGGGCCACCCGCCCGGGTCACGGGTCGGGTCCGGTTCGGGCCGGGCCGGTTAATTTTTTTTTATATAATTTATATTTTATATTTTATAGTTTATAGTTTGATACGAGTATTAAAAACAAACTTCAATTGCATTTATTTGAAATGAAATAGGAACTACATTTGAAAATTAAAACAAACTTTAAGAGATAAACATTTTGAAAATTGTAATCAATCGGAACTTCCCGCACCTCCCGATCCTTTGGCTTTGTCACATGACTTCATATGCTTGATTGCCATCCCGAATCCGCCTGAAGCCCCCATAATACATTTTTTTTCGCACCATTTACAAATTGCGTACCATGTCTTCGGGTCCTTCTGCTTATCAAAATTATACCGTATAATGGCATTTTGATTTTCCATCTTAACTTCTTGGAGAAGAGAATTAGAGAGTAGATATATAATATATTGGAGAATAAGAGAATTAGAGAGTAGAGAGTTAAGAATAGGATTTAGGAAGAATTGGAGAAGAGATATGAAAAAATGTTTAAGAGTAGGAGAATTTATAGGTTTTTTTACCCCCCACCCCCACCCCACCCCCACCCCCTACCAGCCAACCCCCCCCGGACCCCCCCTTTACCCCACCCAACGGCTATATAGCCGTTTGGGTTGTCCCCAGCCCCACCCCCAAGGCCTCAACGGCTAGTAGCCAAAAATCAAAAAAAAAATTTTTTTTTTTAAAATAGACCCGGACCCGGGCCCGCACAGTACCGGGCCGGGCCGGATCACGGGCCGGGTGGCCCGAACCGAATCCATCCCTACATATAACCATCAGTTTCGACTCCAACATTTAAATCAATATTGATAATATAAACGGCCCAAAAATGGCTCAACCGCTTGAGAACCAGACCCAATTTACTAGGATGTGGTTAAAGCTCTTTCAAGTATATAATACTCCCTCCTTCCTAGCTTAAGTTTCTCACTTTCCATCTTGGGTAAAGTTTTTCATTTCTATTTTAGGAAATAATTAACACTCTTAAATGATTAATTAATCATCCAATATTAAAATAATACACATATAATGATATAAACATCACTGTATCAATGATTTCAATATGTTATATACTCATCAAAATTATATACTCAAATTACCTTATTTAATAAGATGAATGTAATAAGAGGGGAAAAAATTAAGATAAAGGCGAGATAGATGGAATATAAAATAAAGTACATTCCAGCAGTGAGAAATCAGGCAAAAAGAGAACAAAATTGCAAAGCTCTTTTATATACGTAGTCTATGCATATTAGATTAGAGGTAAATGAGCGGTTCAACACATTGTCACCTTAGTGGACTACGTGAACCAATTCGTAACATTGAGCTTCTTCAGTTACAAGGCTATAAACAATTTCTACACTTTGTTTGTGTTACAACATTTTCCAATGCACTGCTGCTTTTGTATTCTGGCGATAACAGCAAAGGAGAAAAATGAACTCTTTTGGGTGTAGGCGTCTTTTCTTTTCTAATCTTCAGAACCGCTTCAGAGAAGAAACGCTTCAGAGAGAAGAAACGCCTGTATATGGACTAATTGGCCAATTGTTGATTTAGAACAACTGGAAAAACAGACTGGTTGATCCGTCACCAAATGACTTGAGATCAGCTGATCTTACTAAAGCCCTGCACAAAGGACATGTCCTTTCCCTTTCAAACCTGAACAAAAATGGAAGCGTATTCAGCCATTTTTCAACCATGACGATAATATTTCTCTGAAGAAGCTATTGTGTCATTAAATTGAAAATCACTTTTGTTCTGCCCCCCACTTGTATGAAGGATTATCATGAAAGAAACAAAAAAACAAGCCCGCTTGAGATTCGAATTCGATGCACCGAATTTCAGTGGACACCACATTCTAACAAAGTATTCCTACTCCGTAGGGCCCTCATGGTAGCTCCACACACCCATTGTTGTGGGCCAACCCGTTATTGGACTGTCATTTCAATCAGAATAAGCGCATAATAAGCAAGCATAATAATATGTCAAAATAAGGAAAGGACAAACTAACCATTCAGAGACACAGTCTTCACAAAATATGTGTTTACAGCGAAGCAAGATTGGGGCATGCATCTTTTCCTGGCATATAGCACACAGATCCCCTGCTGCAATCACCTGCCAAATAAAGAAGTGAATATAGAAGTATCCAAGACATTAATAACCTTTCTTCCTTTAACCTTGATCAACACAGGATATCCGCATCGGATGCAACATGCAACACACAGCATACCCGAAGTGATGTGAGATTTCAAATGTAATGACATGTGTATTAGATTTCAGCAACAGGACAGTTTCTGTCAATGCACTTTTTTTGTACGGATACCTTAGACAGAACTCAGAAGAGTTTGTAACTCAAAGAAATGGTAGCGGAAGGGGGCAAAGGCCCAGCCGAATATTTTTTTCTTTAAAGTAGTTGGTTTGAAATTGGAAATTCATTAGAAGTATTGAACTTTTACATGCATTTAAATTTTGTAGTCTTAATATAAAACTCCGCCATGAAATCGTTTTTGATACCATGTTTGTCCCAAGCCATGATAAAGGAGGGGGTGCTCTGGCAGGTGCATCACGGCCAACAGTATCACTTTGTCACATCACATGATATGAATTGAAATAATAACCTTTTGGGACTAAGGCTTGGATGTTGTTGTTGTTGTCGTCGTCTTAACTCTTAATATAATAAATATATATAAACATGTTCATGAAAAAACTAAGATTGATTAATATTGTTTGGACAATTTTTAAACTTTCACCCAAATTTTCTTGCCTTCAAAATTTCCCATCTATTTTCCTAGTTTACTTTCCCTAATTTTCCAGCTTACAAATGAATCTTTACGGAATCAAAATAACATGCCTTTTTTCACCATACGCTTATATTAATTCAGTACTAAGGAAAGAAGAAGAAATATATTCCTTACTTGTTCAGAAGTTGCATAAGCTCCGTAATGGATCTCTCGGCGCGAAAGAGCCTTCAGAGCACTGAAAAACGATTGGACCTAAACAGATATGCTACAGGTCAGAGAACCAAATATACAAAACTACAAACACTTCACATTAATGAAGATATCTAAATCTCAATTTAGAAAGAGATAAGTGGTAATGTGGAAAAGCAGACCTTTTCAACAACAGAAGTGAGCTTGAAAGTCAAATACAACCCGGTCATTAATGATGAAAAGAGGCTTCCATATTCCTTGTTAAGGAAGAAGCGGTACCACACTGGAGCTGGAAGCAGCACACGATAAAGCAGCACAAGATACTCAACCAAAGTGAGCATTTGTCCCTATAAAGAAAAATAGGTCTTCATTCGTTAATGGCCTATTAAACAATCTAGCAAACAATGGGATCCTATGGACATGCAATTTCTATACAATCCCTTACCTGCTTTCGGTAGTTCCTTCCCTTGCTGTTCTTGTAATACATCAATAGAAAGCACTTGGGAACCATTGATGCTTGACGGACTAAGGTGTCTACACACAAAAAAAGTAAACTTGAATGAAAAAGATGGCATTCTTAAAATCCAGTGTTTTTCATTACTCCTTCTAGTCCAAAAAAAGAGTGTAGCATTGAGCTTTTGTAACACCCTGGCCCCGTAGGCCCCGATATAGTTACTTCTGACCTCTAGTACTGTCCTCACAAACCGCCACTAACCTTTTCCGCGCACTTTGTTCTCACTCGTGCGCGCCCTGAGAAACTTTCCAGGGGGTCACCCATCCCAAGACTACTCTCGTGCAAGCACGCTTAACTTTGGAGTTCTTGGCTAATGAGCTCCCTTAAAAGGAGATGCATCTTGTTGGTATGAGTAGTACTATTAATCCGTTTAAATTAAATGTCAAGTGTTACAATCACCCCACTTAGGAACGCAACGTCCTCGTTGCGCCCATAAATCAATCTCAATCAAATCCCAGAATCTTTCCCTCTGCTAAGTGTCTGCCCGATATCCAACGGATCAGCACACTGTCGCAAGGTTGCTCTGAAACCACCTGTAACACCCCGGCCTTGTAGGGCCCAAGGTAGTTACTTCTGACCTCGAGTACTGTCCTCACAAACCGCCACTAGCCTTTTCCGCGCATTTTGTTCTCACTCGTGCGCGCCCTGAGAAACTTCCCAGGGGTCACCCATCCCAAGACTACTCTCGTGCAAGCACGCTTAACTTTAGAGTTCTTGGCTAATGAGCTCCCTTAAAAGGAGATGCACCTTGTTGTTATGAGTAGTACTATTAATCCACTTAAATTAATCTCGGATATTACAGCTTTTGTCCGAAAAGTGGAGTTTGATCAAGCCAAGCTAATTTTTCATGTAATTTGTAAAGCAATTTGCCGAAAGAAGTCACATACAAGTTTCATATGAGAAGTTTAGTTTAACCAACAAAGAAATTTAAAAGTAAAAGTATGATTCATGATTTATGCTACATGTACCTTACCAAAACTAAAAACTTCTATATTGATCAAACAAACCACTTTAATAGGCACAGAGGTAGTATTAAACTATTAGGTACATATATGATAAATCATAACAATTAACCCAAAAGCCAAAACACACCATTCGCCATGATCATAAATATAGCATGCCAGAAGGGTGGGATGGCCTTCGGTGGAAGCATCACCAATGGGTATAAAAGTTCATCTTGCCGAAACCACCAATATAACCCAACCACATGAACAGTGAACAGGATAGAAATTATAGTGAGAACAGAAATTTTCCTTTCACCCTGCATACAAAATAAAGATATTGGTCATTTCCTGCATTAACTAAACAACATGGGTCTAAACAGGAGTAAAAGAATGAGTTGCTGGATCTAATATACTTCCATAAGCAACCCTACTTTTCCCCTTTTTCTAACTTCACTATCTTTTAGGATGATTAGAGTTATATGGTTTGGGATATGGGATGTGTATACATGGAATTTTTTATTACCTTAAGAGCTGTTTGCTTCCGAACAATATCATTAGATTTGAACATAACAGCAGCAAGGAACATTGTTACGAAAAAACCTGCCCATTATAAATTTTATAATGTATTGTCACAAAAGTATTAGAGCCTACAAAACCAATACAACTGGAACTGAAGAAAAGTATTGCAATTGGAACCAAAATTTATAATTTAAGTACATAGAAAAGTTGAACAAAACTCTTACAGAAGTAATCTTAACAGAGGAAGAAGGAAAAAAATAGAAGAGAAAGACCCATTTGGAATTAAGAGAGAGAAAATAATGACGACAAAAGAGCACTCTTTCAGTGTTCAACACTTTACAATGTAAGAAAGAGCACAATTCACCAAAGAAAACCTATCACATAGGTTCCCAAATAGAAGCGCTTTGATAAGACGCCAATTAAGCAAAATAAGAAAGGCAGTGCATGGGAATCAATGATGAACATCACACTAACTCAGATCTTAGAACATCGGCATGATGACAAGTGAAGTTCAGCATTCAGCAGATTCAGTCATTTGAGCCGAATAAACTTGCCCCACTAGCTCTAAATCAATGATATGGTCCAATCAAAGTGATTCCTACTAAGCAGAGGTAAGGAGAAAATACCTTGCAAGTGCTGCCGAATGAAAACAACCAATAGTAGCAAAGTGAAAGGTAGGACTTGTTCAATCCACCTAGCAGCTTGTTGAATATCATATCTTTGGTAAGAAGAGTCCCTGTTGGAGGTCCCACCTCCATCCGCATTGCCAGTATCCGCACTTCCATTTGTAGCTTGATGATTGAAGCCTCCCTCTCCTGCTGTGTCACTTCTGAAGTCGCTCTGACTCTCAAAACCAGATGATACAGAAGCAGCAGAAGCAGACCTTGAAATTGGCTCATTTTGCCCACTTAACTCCCTCAATGGCCCAGAAATGGGTGAAGTCAAACCCATTCCAACCCGGTCATGTTCTTGATCACCTGAACCAATTATCCGAATTGTGACCTCCTCTGCAGACCCGGGATGAGCAGTGGGTGCTCCAGAATCATCCGGTCTTTGCTGAAAATTGTCCCTATACCCAAGGGAAGATCTGTGGTTGACCAAACTGTCTGTTTCTGAGTGGCCGGACCTTGTCCTTAAGATGCCAGTGTATTCCAACAAGCTAGACACAGGGTATCTGAATATATTTGACGCTGAAAGATGTACCCCGTATCTTCTAGAATGGCCATTACTGCTAGTAGTGTTCGAAGCACCTCTCTGGGCGTCCGAATTACCACCGGAAGCGTCCATCCTTGAGGAAGACCTTGCTCTAAACCTCACCCTGAACAAGGATACAATTTCACTCGTTCTTTTAGCAAGCCAAAAATCAAATGAGAGAAAAACACTATTAAAATTGAGAAAACCTGCGCGATCGAAAATCCGTCGAAGCCCCTTTGCGATGATGGCGTTGAAGAAGACTCTAGAACATCAAAACCCTAGAAAGAATTTGCCGAAGGGAGGCAGAAATGTCAAAAGGAAGAAAATCAGCCTAACCAACCGATCCTGCACCGCATAAATCACGAGTCAATCGAAAAGAAAGAAAGAAAATACGCCCAAGATTTCAAACGAGGGATTCATTTCCTCAATTCATAGAAGCGTACATAGCGAAGGCAGGACGGATGAAAACGAGAACCGGGAAAAGGCTGAGCAAAGCGAAGGCGAAGCCAGAAGCGGCGGATGCGATCGTTGGGCGGTGAAACCGTGAAAGGGAATGGAGAGTCAACAAGAGTATGTTTTGTGTCGGAGTTAGATTGATTCTTTTCCCTTTCTTGGTTTCACACTCAGCCCGAAGAGGGGAAAGAGCGACAGGGAAGATAGAGGAGGAAGGCGGAGAGAGAGAGAGAGAGAGGTGGTGACGAGAGCCAATACGACGGTGACAACTATCTGCTACGTTTTTCAATGGTATTCCAATTTCCTCTACTCGTTTCTTTTATGAATTCTTTTTTCCGCACACCATAAGCAAGGAGTATTATTCATGTCCAATACTAGTACTGTACCACTGTCCATTTTCATTTAAGGCCATCCAAAAAGGTGGATAAAAATTACTCCCTCCCTTCCTAAATAAACTTCCAATTTTCCTTTTTCGTTCGTTCCAATTAAAACTTCCACTTTCCCTTTTTGGTAAAGAGTTTGTGGTTCACAACATTTCTTACACATTTCTCTCTCCTCTGCACAACTCTCCACCACGCAATATCCACTATCTTAAACTTTGTGCCAAACTCATTTTGAAGTTAAAATGGGAACGGAGGTAGTAGAAAATTTCTTAAAATAGAAGTAAAATAATATGGTTTTCTAAATAGAGGTAAAGTAATTGTCCTCTTGAAATATTATCATTATATTGTGATCTTTATCAGACATTAAATTGCTCATATTTATTACTATTGTTCCCTTAAGAGCATTTATAATGAGATATTGTATTGGAGTTGGCAGTCCCGAACCGGTTCGTAACCGGACCCGTTACTGTGCAGGTCTTTACCAGATCTGGAAAACTGGTCCTGATGCAAGATTGGGTATATGTCGGTTTCGGTCCCTGCCTGCTTTTTTTAGGCTTCAGACTGGCCAAAAAAAGAAGAAAATCGAAACCGATCTGGGATCAGATTGGCCTAGTACTCAGAACCGACCTAGACCCGAAAAAAGGCGGTTCAGACCTCGGTCATCGTAGGTAAGGTCCCCCCCCCCCCCCCACCCGAAAGTAGGCCATCCAATTACATGTTTTGTTCAAATTTGAACCCTTAGTCCTAAGCATGTTTGAGCAATTTTTAGCCCAATAGAAACGATACCTGATGGATAGTCTACCCGGGGGTATATATCCAAAGGGTTATTACGGGGAATAACTTAGAGAGAAGTCAGAGCAAGTAAGTAAAAGTAGAGAGAGAGTGTATTCAGTATGAATGCCGTTTTCAGCGTGGTTACAAATGAGGAAATGGGGTGCTATTTATAGTAGCAATAAATGCCGGGCAGGGACACGTGTCAAGCGCTTATTGGCCGAGGGGTCACCTCAACTGGTTGGCGCTGGCAGCCGCATGTGGCCGCATTTAATGCGGCTGTTGGATAGGACGTCTGTGTGGGGTACGGTGATCTGTACGCATGTGAGGCGGATATCTTGTCGAGTGAGATGCCTTCGGCTATAGAGCAATAGCCGAGGGCTTTTCCACCCGATGGCACCCTGGTGCCGAGGGCTCACAGTGTCGAGGGCTACTGTTTTCGCCGTTTTCTCCCAGTTTCTTAATTTGCTTGAGAAACCCGTTCTGTGAGAACTTGGAGCTTTCGGCCAGGGGGCCGAAGGCACCCCTGGCGCGTTGTGCGGACTGCTTGGTACTCTGGGCGCTGTGATTTGGGCCTGTTGGGCCTGTTGGGCCTTCGATGGAGCAGTAGGAGTCTGTGGGCCGGGGGTTCCCGGGCCATATACTCCATCAGGAGTCCCTCACTCCTTTTGCCGAAAGGTACTTGAGGGAAAAGGAGTAATTTGTGCTTGCCCTTTGATGTTGTCCCGTCGTGATCTCTGAAGTTGGTGAGGAGTTGTTGCTTTCATGTCCCTGCCGAAGGCAGTCCCTCAGTTACCCACATGTCGGGACTTGAGGGCTTGCTTTGTTGTTTGTTGGAATTTCACAGATTTTGTAATTTAATGATTTTCCCGAGGGGGTCCTCCGGTCCCCCACTCCTTGAGGCACTTGTAAAGTGGTGAAAAGGAGTAAAGTAGTTACGTTGCTGTTGTGGGCCGAAGGCTGACGCTTTTCATTTCATTTTGGGGGGATGCCTCGTTAAAAACCTCATTAGGAAAAACCCTTTGGGAAAAAATCCTAATGAGGGAAAAAGAGTGCACCGAATTCCCCCAATGATGAATCGAAAATGTCAAACCTTGGCAAAAAATGGAGAATGACGGGAATGCCGAAGGCTCTCTCTTCTGAGGGCTCCTGTGTTGATTAGCCGAAGGCTTGCTGTTGATGTCCTGGTGGCGCCGAAGGGGAGCCCCTCAATCCAGAGATCGAGGGCTTGCCAGATGAGGGCAGCAGTGAAGTTGTTACCGGGGGGTCCACTGTTTGTTGATTAGTTGGTGATGAAGATACCCGAGGGCTCCCATTACCTGTGTGCCATGGGTCATCCGTCAATGAGGCAAATCCCCGGGGGCTACCCGGTTTTGCAGTGCTGAGGGGGAATTCCCGAGGGGTGCCCTGATATGAAGCCCTGGGTTTCTGAAGGAGTGATCCCGAAGGCGTCTGTTATGTGCTGTTTGGGGCACAACCTGGGCACACTTCTGAGTGAGTGTACCCGGGGGCTACCCTTGATGCAGTGGAGTGAAGTAGAAAACCCGGGGGCTTCCGGAATATAGCCGTTGGAAATATATCCGTTGGAATATGTAACGACAGGATATAGCCGTTGGGGGGTGGCACACGTGGCGTGTGATGGCTGGCTATTCGTGGGCGGCGTCACCGATTGGGTGAAACGACGGTGTGTAATGATGACGCTCCGTCCGGAGGCCCGGTTTCCGGGCCCAAGCCCGGATTCCAGCGCCTATAAATACCCCAGGGGCCAGGGCCATTCCCTCTTGTGCGATCATTTGTTTTAGCGAAGCTCTGCCGAAAATTCTAGAGAGAGAAACTCCAGCCTTCGGTCAAAACTCTACTTTCAAGGTCAGTGCCCGTTTTCCTCTCCAAACTTTTAGTGAGTCCCGCCCTCTGGCCTTAGATTAGGGTTAGTCCTGTAGAAAGCCTTCGAACATTAGACACACTTCGTGATAAAAATTTCGTCCGAGAGCGATTCCCAGGACATCTCGAGGACGCCCTCGATGGAGGACGAAGGCATCTCCGACGTGGAGTCCAGCAGTGGTCAGCCCTCGGATGGTGGTGATGCAGCCCTCGCCACTGAGATGCAGAAGGATCTGATGGCGGAGGCCGAGGCGGAGGAATTCGAGCGAACTGCCGAGGATGAAGAGTTGGCCCTCGCCGTCCAAGTTGCTGAAGAGGAGGAGGAAAAGGAGAGGGCGAAGGTCACCGTGGCAGTCCTTCCCCCTCGGGGTGCTGGTGAGGCCAGTACTTCCCAGCCGCTGAATGCAGTTCCCATCCGGGTGGCCCCCGGGAAGAAGAAGGCCAAGGCAGCTGCCCCCAAGAAGAAGGTCATTGCTGCTGATCAGGGGAAACCCGTAGATATGCCGGAGGGGTATTCCTGGCTCAACACGGCTGCCTTAGAGATAAAGTCGAAGGCGGACAGGGCGGACCTCTACGTGACGCAGCTACATGTAGGGCCCTCGGCCGTGGTGGTCGAGCCGAGAGTTGACGACGTGCTCTCTCGGGCGCCTGAGGGGTGCATTGCAGTACACGTACTGTCGGTCTCCATGGGCCTTCGGTTCCCTCTGCACCCCTTCCTCCGGGAGTACCTGAGGTTTGTTGGCTTGGTACCCTGCCAGCTGACACCTAATAGCCACTCCTACGTGGCGGGTTTTTTAAACCTCTGTAGGGACCGAGGGGTGACCCCCAGCCTGGACTTGTTCTTCCAGAGCTTCAACCTTTGTCGAGGGGGTCACGCGAATGCCGAGGGCTTCGCCAACCTGCAGCAGGTGGCCAGGTGGAAGCTGTTTACGGAGGCGCCTTCGTCCAATAAGGGCTGGAAGGAGCGCTGATGCTATGTCAGGGTTGCTGAGAACCCCTTTCCGGCGAAACTTCGGGATCGCTTCCGTCGGCATCCGAAGGTTGGAAGCGCCGCCCTCGAAAAAGATGGCCTGGTGATACCCAAAATCCCGGAGGGTCGCACAAAGCAGGTCTCCATCAAAGACTATACTGCCGACAAGGGATTCTACGCCCTCGGCTTTCGGAGGTACCGATTTATTGGGGAAGCGGACGAGAAGTACCCCATTTTTGCTGAGGCCTTCGGGGGAACAGGAGGTAGTCTACGAGGTCCCTGGGTTTTCATATCTTAGCACATAGCTTATTTTGTTCGTTTTTTTTTTGTGCCTTCGGTCAGTAACCCCTCGATTTTGACCCCATACCTTTTTTTTGCAGGTGTCCCAGTGAAAATGATGAACGTTAGAGGCCTTGCAGACCTGAAGAAGAAAAAACCCTCCAAGGGCCCGAGGGGGACGGACGCCGGTGTCCCAAAACCCGCCGGTGACTTCTTCAAAAAACCAGAGGGGCCGTCGGTGGGCCCAAGTGCTGATGCTGCCGCTGCCGCCAAAAGGAAGGGCTCGGGCAGAGATCCCGAGGGCAAGAAGCCCAAGACCGGGGATGCCGGGAAGAAAGTCCCCCCGGTGATCATTGTTGATGAAGGCCCTGCCTCCGGGGCGGATGACGACATGCAGGTGGCGAAAGTGCCGCCGGGAGTTCAGGGGCCATCTTCCGAGGTCCTCATGGTTTCCCTCCCGGCTGGTACGGCCGTGATGAACGGTACGGCCGACCCGAGGGCGCTTCTGAGAGGCATCACCCTCGAGATCGACAGAGTAGCCCTCGGGGCTGATGAAGACGAAGCCCTCGAGGACAGGATCCTCCGGTCTTCCCTCACAATAAGTCTTTTATGTTTATTTCTTTCTCTTCTACTTCGAGCTGAGAAACCATGTTTGGCCTTGCTAACCCCTTTGTTTTTGTAGACCTGCATTGCCCTCGGGGAGCAAGCCCGGCGGCTAGATGAGTGGCGCCTTCGCAAGGCCGAGCAGGAGGCCAAGATGCGGGAGCTCATCCGCCAGAATGCAGACGCTGTTCGACAGATGGCTATGCTGGAGGAGAGCCTTCGGCAGATGACCCTGCGGGCGGAGGCCGCAGATCGGGGTAGGGCAGAAGCCGAGAGGTCCGCAGCTGAGGCCTTGGAGAGAGCTGTCAAGGAAGCCGAGGCCGCGAAGGTGGAAGCCGTCGAGAGAGCCCGAGGGGACGCAATCTCGGGGTTCTTGGCAGGGGGGTGGCGGTCCGAGGAGCACAAGCAATGGCTGTCCTCGGTCGTCGAGTCCTCGGTCGACGAGTGGTGTGATGGGCCTGGCGTGGAGTGGGTTTCCCGAAAGGGTAAACAATACTATGATGGGGGCGAGTTTTTCACTCAAGCCCTCATCTACCGGAGGATGGCTCGCCACTTAAAGATCGAGCCAAAGGACTTTGACCCGGCAGCATACGGGCTCCCCCCTGCAGCCAGACATCCGCGTTCCTCTTCCCCCCGATGTCGAGAGGCCGGACCTGGAGGACTCTGAGCTCATGAAGGAAGCCGAGGGCGACGAACCTGAGGCCGACGCAGAAGTCACCTCGAAGCCATCGGGGGAGGCGGGCCTCGGGAATGACATGATTTGATATGTATTTTGTATTATGTAAACATGTATTTGTAATGGTGACATTATTCATCCTTCGGCTTCGGCCTGCTTGTAACATTTATTCGTATTACATTTGCCCTCTGTTTGTTGATGATTGAATGATTGCCTTCGGGCTGTGTTTATATGATTTGTTTTCTCCAATTCCTTTCTTCTTGAATGCATGCCTTCGTTTTTGTTTTGGATGTATGTCTTTGCTCCTTTGAATGTATGTTTTAGGACTTAGAATATTATCTGATTGTAGCTAGCCCTTGGGAGCCTTCGGTAGTTGGGCACCCTCTGCTGGATATGCAACCGAGGGTTCAGCAGCAATTAGGACTTAGAAAAATTTTCTAAGTGTATCACACCGTAGGGCCTTCGGGTGTTTGCAGTAACCCAAATCCTAGGACTTAGAAAAATTTCTATGTGTAGATTTCCCCTTGAGAGCCTTCGGGATATGGCATCCCTTCCTGATGTGTGAATGTTGGACCGAGGGCCCAATGCACAGGACTTAGAGATTTTTTGCAAGTGTAGTATGTCATGTAGCCTTCGGCTACTGTGGAGCCCCAACTGAAATATTGAATAGGCCGGGGGCCAATTCTTTAGGACTTAGAAAATTTTCTTGAGTGTTGATTCCTTGTGTACTGTAGCCCTCGATTGATAGGTAGCCTTCGGCAATTAGGTCCCTTGAGATGAGGGTGAAATATGTAAGACTTAGAAAATCTTCTAAGTGTAGAGTTTCCCTTGGGAGCCCTCGGGAGGTGGCATCCCTCCATGATGTATGAGTAGCTGACCGGGGGGGAAATATGCAGGACTCAGAAAATATTCTAAGTGTAAAATCTCCCTTGGGAGCCTTCGGGAGATGGCATCCCTCCTTGATGTATGGCCTTCGACTGTCATATTCCTCTAGCTGCAATACTGACTGAGCCGGGGGCCCATCTTTAGGACATAGAAATTTTTTTTTGTTTGCAAGTGTTGTTGTATCGCATAGCCTTCGGCTATTGTATTCCCCTGGCTGTAATGTTGATTGAGCCGGGGGCCCAATTTTAGGACTTGGAATTTTTTTTCAAGTGTTGTTTCTTTGTGTAGCCTTCGGGTGATAGGTGTCATCTGACTCTGCATTACTTTGCGACATGCCTGGGGGCTACTAATTTAGGACTTAGAATATTTTCTAAGCGTAAATTGGTGTTGAGCTTCCGGATGTAGATCCCTTGTGTTGTATGAGTCTCTGGCCGAGGGCCAAATATGTGTGGAATCCTGTTGTTGTGAAGAATGCCAACGATGAGTGTGTGCCCTCGGCATAATTTTTAAAAGGTGTAGATTTCGACCCTTGCTGGAGCCTTCGGTGCATGTGTGACCGGAGGTGACCAGGCAGTGGACTTAGCCGTTTCCTGATGATATTTGTTTGAGTGGTATCCTTCGGGAAATAGGAGCCTTCAGTTACCGGAGGTGTTCCCGTGGGGAGCCCTCGGCTTGTTGTGATCTGTTGGAGTGTACTCTTCGATTTCTCGCTGAGTCTACTCCCCTTCACCCCCTCTTTTTTTTTTTTTGGTTGGTGGTGAAGGGAAGGCATCAAGAAACTTGGTTTCTTGGTAAGGCTGGGCCTATTAGGAGACCATCAGAATACACCAATGGCTCTCCTCCCTCGGGTTTACCTTCCGAGTTCCGAGGGGATCGAGGGACGTTTCCTGGGCACAAGATATGGTGGTCCGTAACCTGCCTCCCCTTGGGGGATGGCGCGGAAAGCGCCTCATTTTTGAAAGTCGTCCCCTCGGCGCTAGACATAGTCTGTGGCCTGCCAGACCCTTGGGGTGGTGGCGCGGGGAGCGTTTCGGTTTGGAAGTCGAATCCTGGGCATTTCTCATGCCTGTCATACCCTGGGGGTAGTGACGCGGATAGCGTTCCGTTTTGAAAGTCGAATCCTGGGCATTTCTCATGCCTGTCATACCCTGGGGGTAGTGACGCGGAAAGCGTTTCAAGGAAGGGTTTTCATTTGCACACTAGTTGCAAATGGCCGGGGGCACTACGTGCACCGGCACCGATGGTGGCGCCTTCGGTATATGCGTCCTCGTGGGGTACGGCTTTTAGAAAGAACACTTGGTGTTAGTTTCGATGTGTAGCCCCCGGTATTTGGTACTGAGGGGTCTTCTGTAGGAACACTTGGTGTTCTCTTTTGTCGTAGTTGATGTAGGCGTCTACCCTCGGTACTTGGTACCGAAGGGTCTTCAAATGAAACACTTGGTGTTTCCCAATAGATGTTTGGAAGTTGATAGGAGAGCATATCCCTGGCACTGGGTGCCGAGGGGTCTTCTTTGAAACATTTTGGTGTTTTTCCTTTGTTTCGATGTTTGATGATGGAGATGTACCCTCGGCATTGGGTGCCGAAGGGTCTTCTGTAGGAACACTTGGTGTTCTCATTTTTTCTTTTTTTTTATGATGAAGGTGGGAATGTACCCTCGGCACTGGGTGCCGAAGGGAAATGAAACACATGGCGTCCCTTGTTGTTGGTGATAGGAGTTCCCTCCCTCGGCACTGGGTGCCGAGGGGTCTTGACTGAAAACACGTGGTGTTTTCACTGTTTGTTGTAGGTGTTGATAGTGTCCGCCCTCGGCACTTGGTGCCGGAGGAGGTTCTTCTCGTGGTGAGGCCTGGGGCCTGTAGTCAGTATGAGGGCTTGATGTCTTGAATGTATCTTCATTCTTCGAAATTGGAGGCTTTGGGCCATAGGATAGTACATTCACTAGTTATGAGGGCTTGGCCGCTCTTACATTATTGATAAAATTTAACTGAATGGTGTACATTCCAGTGCCTAGGGACTTCTTTCCCATTGGGGCGTTTGAGCTTGTAGGTCCCGGGTTTGATGATGGCTGCTATGATGTAGGGGCCTTCGAATTTTGGTGCCATTTTTCCTCCCTCGGTTGGTTGGCTGGCTTCCCTCCTCCGGAGGACATAGTCCCCCACTTGAAATTCTCGGGTGCGAACTTTGGCGTCGATGTAGCTTTTAACTTGCCTTCGGTAGTTTTCTGCCCGGATGAAGGCCTGCTCCCGGCGTTCTGAAATGAGGTGGAGGTCGAGGGCCATGTTGCTGTCGTTGACCTCGGGGTCATATTGGATCACCCTTCGGGTGGGAAGGGGTGACTTCCGTAGGAGCTTTGGCTTCAAAACCGTAGCAGAGGGAGAAGGGTGTTTCACCTGTTGCTCGCCGAGGGGTGGTGCGGTAGGCCCAAAAGATGTTATGGAGTTCTTCTACCCAGCCACCGCCCTCGGCCTCCAGCTTCTTTTTGAGGCCCTCGAGCAAGGTCCGGTTGGCATTCTCTACTTGCCCGTTGCCTTGAGGGTAGGCAACAGAGGAGAAGGTGTGTTTGATGCCCCATGCCTCCAGAAGGGCACAGAAGGGGGCTGCCTCAAATTGTGTCCCATTGTCGGAGATGATCTGCTGGGGGACGCCAAACCTTGTGAGGATGTTCTTGAGGACGAAGTGACGGCACTTCGCCTCTGTGATGCTGGCGAGGGGTTCAGCCTCCACCCACTTGGTAAAGTAGTCGATGGCCACAATGATGTACCTGTTGTTGGAGGTACCCCTCGGCAGAGGGCCCACAAGGTCTATCCCCCATCGAGAAAAAGGGACAGATGTGCTGATGGGGGCATAGTTGACCGCTGGCCTGCCGGGGGCTTTCTGGAAATGTTGACATGCGGTGCACCTCCGGGCAAGGTCAGCACAATCCCTGGCCATGGTTGGCCAGAAGTAGCCCTGGAGAATGAGCCTTCGGGACATGGAGAAGGGTCCTTGGTGAGCTGAGCAAGTGCCACTGTGCACTTCCTCCATTGCGACCTCGGCTTCATCTGGATGAAGGCACCGAAGTAGCGTGCCATTGTAAGATCGTTTGTAGAGCCTTCCATCTTCGATGGTGTAGCTGGGAGCCCTCAGCTTTGCCAGTTTTGCGCGGGCCTCATTCTCGGGTAGCTGCCCTGTGGAGATGAAGGCGGTGATATCTGAGATCCAATCCTCCTGACGCTGTTGTATGTTCATAACGGGGCTTGCATGGATGCTTGAGAGGCTGAGTTCCTCGATTTTGGCAATTTTGGAGATGTGCTCGGGGGAGTCTGCCGAGAGCTTAGATAATATGTCGGCCTCGGAGTTCTGAGCCCTCGGTATTTGAGTGAGAGAGTGTGCCTCAAATACCTTAAGCAACTCCTTGGCCGCTTCCTTGTACTGTTTCATTCTCCCCTCCTTGGCCTCATATTCTTCGGAGATTTGGCCAACGACCAACTTGGAGTCGCATTTGATGTGGATCTGCCGAGCCCTCATGTTGGCAGCCAGCCGAAGGCCACATAGGAGGGCCTCATATTCGGCCTCATTGTTGGAGACCTTGAAGGAGAAGCGGATTGCATAGTAGGCCCTGAAGCCCTCGGGAGTAATGAGGACTACCCCTCCCCCGCATGCTTTGGTCGCGGAGGAGCCGTCAGTGTAGAGGGTCCACCAGTCGTCCGAGGTAGCCGAGGGCTCCCCGTCCGTGGCTGCCCTTGCGGTACACTCCGTCACGAAGTCCGCCAGGGCTTGGCCTTTGATGGCAGGCCTTGGGCGGATGTCAATGTTGTACTGGCTCAAGAAGATAGCCCATTTCACCATGCGGGAGGAGCTGGTGGGGCTCCTCATGAGGGCGCTGAGGGGTTGATGAGTGAGGACCTGAACCGGGTGAGCCTGAAAGTAGTGGCCCAACTTTTTTGACAGTCCAAACGATGGCT